GATTATAAATTGCCTTAGCATATTTCAATATCACAAAAGTTAAATTTGTTGAAGCCTTCAAATGACAAGTACTCAACAGTCTGAAGTTCTGAGGGTTCTTGGGAGAAAGACCGAAAATTTTTTGAACAGAAATGACCCTGACCAATTCTCAAGGTCAAAGTGATAAAAATTTCTTCAACCCTTCAAACAATGTCTTTTCGATTTAGCAAAATGTTTATTTTACTGGTGGGTTCCTGAGATGAAGTCCATCAAAGTTTACGTACAGAAATTACATTAACGTTATTCAAAATCAAAATTTGTTGAAATATTCACATTTCTTCTCATTAACAAAGACTTTGAATGCAAGTAATGGTAAATGTTTTTGTATTTTGGAAAGTTTGAATATCAGATGAACTATGCATGTCATTTGGGCCTTTTGTTTAAGTATTGGAAGCCCACAAATGCTGTGGTACAGGCAGTGGTAATACCATAGGTAGGTGATTCCAGCGTTAAGGGGCTCCAATATCAACAGTATTCGTCTGGCTAACTAAGGAAAATTCATGATGCTGACAACAACGCCCAAAGGTATACAGTCGTTGATATTTTTTTCTGTGGCCTGTATACGAAAGAAACACAAAATGTTGCCACCTGCTTATAACAGCAGATAGGATAAAGATAATCCAGACGGTTCGGCGTTTCCTGTTGAATCGACTACACTTTTTGTAAACCTAGGTCAAAACAAACGTAATAGGAAGTAGAGTGTATGTTACCTTCGTCCATTTCCCGCCATACTCACCTCGACACGAGTAGGTATAACCATCTTGTATGATCACATACAAGTCCTTAACGACCAAAATTTGCCTTTCTGTTCTTAGTGATTAACATTTGACCCCTGTGACCTTGAATATGGGACAAGGTCATTTCTTTTCACAAACTTTGTTTGGCTTTATAAAAGGAACCTTCCAGCCATATACAATGATTCTATGCCTTCCGGTATTTTGGAAGAAGTCGTTTAAAAGTTTTTAACACATTTGACCTCTGTGACCATGAATATGGGTCAAGGTTATCTTTTCTGCAAACTTTATTGGGCTTTACAAAGGAACCTTCCAGCTAAATATAGTGATTCTAGACCTTCCAGTATTTTGGAAGACGTCATTCAAAAGTTTTAACACATTTGACCTCTGTGACCTTGAATACAGGTCAAGGTTATTTCTTTTAGTAAAATTTGTTGGGCTCCATAAAAGGAACCTTCCAGCCATATATAATGATTCTAGGCCTTCTGGTATTTTGGAAGAAGTCATTTAAAGGTTTTAACACATTTGACCTCTGTGACCTTGTATATGGGTCAAGGTCATTTCTTTTAGCAAACTTAGTTGGACTTCATCAAAAGAACCTTCCAGCCAAATATGATAACTCTTCGCCTTTCAGTATTTCAGAAGAAGTTGTTTAAATGAAAAGTTGACGGACGCAGGACGGACTGACAAAGGACGACGCACTATGGCATAACCTCACTTGGCCCTTTAGGACAGGTGAGCTAAAAAACACTCTGGAATGCAGACAGTCAGTTGTAGGCTATCTTTCTTTGTCATTACAGACAAGCTAAAACTCTGATAAATGGTCAGAATCCTTCGACTAACTTACCAGGTAGACATTCATTCCGGGGCACATTTTACAAACTATGACCGGGGTTACCTTGCTGACTAAGATGTTAAAGATACATTGCTGTAACATATTTGACCCCAGTGACCTTCGTTGAAGTTATTTACTTAAATTTTAAATTGATCCAATCCATAATTCTGTAACAATCGTTTACTTAGGAATATGTTCACAGACTGAGTTACACTGTATTAGCAGACGTAAATCTCGGTAAAAATCATCACCTACACGGTTCCTTTGTTCCTATGAAGTTTAAAGAACAAAGGAATGTCCTCACTTCTTCTAAATTGAGTAACACAATCGAAATCTTCAGCTTCGAAATTTCCGCGGTTAAACTTCGTCACGAGTAAGAAATCGGAGATGATATTAAAAGCAGGTTAGTGTAAATATAATTCCGTAGCGCAGGTTGTAGATGCGAATCACTCCTTTAAGGTCCTTCTTGATGAACTTGGAGGCTTTATCTTCTTTGTGTAGATTTGATGCGTTTCCATTCCATCATTTCCCGTTTATTATACGGATCATAACACAAAGACTGGGTTCATCTGGTACAATCTTGGTTTGCGTAAATGGAGTATGTGATGGCGACCCCCAATCGCTTCATGCCATCCGTACATACAATGGACACATATAGATTGTCATGATGTATGCTGTGTATTTATCCACATGAAAGACCTGTTTACTAACCCATAAAGAGTAAGGCGACGGTTTCACATTGCTTGCTTATTAACTAAGTCTATATTTGTTTTGGCTGACAAGTTCTGGCTGATGGGCGTCCTGACTGGGAATATCTTATAAACTCTGCCATTATATAGAGTTTCCCAACCTAAAGTTTGATATTTACAATAATGTTAGAAACTAGAACTAGAAACTGTATCACTGCTCTATACTCAGTTTTGTCCATTTTACTAATTCACTGGGATATGTATCTCCAACAAAGTGTTGAACTTAAATGGGCGCCATGGTATGGCTTAAGCTCTCAGGTCCTTAAGACCAAGTTAGCTAAAACGTGAGTCTACTGGAATTAAAATTTCAAGCAACTTGGTCTTTTTGTAGTAGATGGTGGCTACCTCATTGAAGAACATATGGGAGACACAACATGCAATCCAGAACAATTAGGTAGAATATCTTGCCCTTGGACACCATCACCAAAGCACAGACCAGTCTTTTTCTTTCAGCTTCCAATGAAACACAAAATACCATGAATAGGGAGCATTGAACCTCCATTTGATACGATCACCTGAGAATATCTCGGCCAACGTTCTGACCAGTTGAGCTATTACAGCCCTTTCATAGACAAGACCAGATTTAAAATGTTTATGAAAAGTATGACTTAAAGTCGTCACCAACAGATGAATGGAGTCGGACACATACTATGCTTCAATGTAAATTTATTGTCCTTTTGGGAGACTGACTTATGACAGGCATTGTGACATTGCAACAGTTCACATGTCCTTCACACAGGTCAAGAAAAAACAACTTGTGTTCAATCAATAAATTGTTTAATATCATGCCCACTATCAGTTGGGACTTTAAAATAGTAACACATGGCATTAATCATACAAAGATTTCTTAAAACACTCTACTCAAGGGGTGGTTACATTGTGTTACTCAATGTAACTTCAGGGAGAACAAGATTTGATTGTGCTGAGTAGCTCTTATCTGGATCTGCCCTAAAAGGAAGATTTCTGGTGTACTGGGGAGTTCCTAACTGGATCTGCCCTCAAAGGAAGATTTCTGATGTACTGAGGAGTTCCTATCTGGATCTGCCCTCAAAGGAAGATTTCTGATGTACTGGGGAGTTCCTATCTGGATCTGCCCTCAAAGGAAGATTTCTGATGTACTGGGGAGTTCCTATCTGGATCTGCCCTCAAAGGAAGATTTCTGATGTACTGGGGAGTTCCTATCTGGATCTGCCCTCAAAGGAAGATTTCTGATGTACTGGGGAGCTCCTATCTGGATCTGGCCTCAAAGGAAGATTTCTGATGTACTGGGGAGTTCCAATCTTGATCTCTGCCCTCAAAGGAAGATTTCTGATGTACTGGGGAGTTCCTATCTGGATCTGCCCTCAAAGGAAGATTTCTGATGTACTGGGGAGTTCCTATCTTGATCTGCCCTCAAAGGAAGATTTCTGATGTACTGGGGAGTTCCAATCTTGATCTGCCCTCAAAGGAAGATTTCTGATGTACTGGGGAGTTCCAATCTTGATCTGCCCTCAAAGGAAGATTTCTGATGTACTGGGGAGTTCCTCTCTGGATCTGCCTTCAAAGGAAGATTTCTGATCTACTCATACACAATAACAAGAATATCTCTGTTTTTTTCACAATTCCAGGTGTTTAAGCTTAACTTTTGTAGAAGATGTCACATATTACTCACTGATAATACATTTTCAGTTTTTATATAGCATACAAGTAATATAATACAGTGCATATAGACCCCATACTGTATATATAGCACCTTAAAGGTATAAAAAAAAACCTTCAGTCTTAATTGTAATATTTCCAAACCATACAGAGAATAAAATAAAAATTTCTAACTCTTTGCATTACAACCATTGTGACCGGAAGACATAAAATATTATTTAAAAGAAATCAAACACATCAGATTAAAAACAAAACCTTTAAATTTTTTTCAACATTCAAACTACAAAAATTCTCAACAGGTCAGGAATCTTGAAAATGGGAAAAACAGACACAGCTCTGCATATAACATATCAAAACCATTTGCTGGTGCCCCCCTACCAACCACCAAAAATAAAAAAAATACCCTTAACGAGGACAATATTTTTTTGCCAATTTACCACCCAAAGCAATGTTTATCCAATCACAAGTGAAGACTGTTTTCAGCCAACTAAAACACATTACCATGGTACATGTAGTATTCAATCTTGCCAAACCAAATTAATTTGTAGAAAAAATCTACAAAAAGATTTACACTGTGTGTTTATTGATGAAGGCAGTGCCTCCTTTTATTTGTGATTTGCCTTTATCACACTACCACTGAAACAGAGGTAAAACAGCTATCTTGTTATTTCCTTTGAAAATAAAATGTGCTCATTTGACATTTCCCACAAGGACTTTACACAATATATCAATACTACAAAATCATATTTCATTGCAACTTCAGTTTAAACATATTTTTCATTTCAGGAGATTTTACTGACTTTAACTTTCAAAAATAAGAAGTGTTTAGATTATACATGTAGTATCCATAAACATTATAACCTTAGTATTAATAACATTTGGTAAACATGTCAAATTACTTTTGTTTGGCAATACACAGTTAATATGGTAATGGAATTGATCCAATATATTGTATACTTTCAGACATAAAATTCTAAACAAATGTATACATATTATATACAGATAGGTAGATTTTTTCCAAGTGTAATTATCAATAGATTAAGAGCATACTTGTAGCTAATCTATTTAATATCATTGTTTATAAATGTACTCCCTGTTAACAAAGATATTAAGACATCAGTACCACAATCATTTGGTACATTATCTATATGAAATATATCAAATGTGTTGTATGGAACCTGAAACCATTTTTTTAATGTTGATCCTGTTTAAAGAAAAAAAATAAAAAACAAACCAAAAAAAAAAATAAAATAAAAACTCCTGCAGGTTTTCTGTTAAAGGAGGGAGATAACTTCACTAAAAATAAAATCTTGGTATTGGTAAAATATCAGGAGACATTATTTTGTTCATTATTCTTTAAATCTCAATTAATTTGACAGTTTTTTTACTAGCAATGTCTGTTAAAAGCTGTGAAAATTATTGTTGGTTTAAAATCACATCAGCGAAATGAAAACAGAAAAGTAAAATCTGGCATGATCTACTGTTGATAACAAGAAATGTTAACATTTTCTAAAGAAGAAGACTTTGTATTTGTTTGTGCTCCCTGATGTTACATAAGGTATTATCACTTCACTTTGTTATGATTTTACCAATATGAAACCATTTCCAGCCATTGCCATGAAACAAGTTAGACCCAATATACAAAATGTGTATGTAGAAATTGTTCCATTTTCAGTAAATCTCAATCTACCTGCCACAGAATGCTAACAGGGTCACAACACTGTAGGTTCAATTTATCTCTGTATCTAACAGTTCATCTTCCTCATTCTTATAAGGCGTGGATTGATCCCTAACTTAATTGATCGCATGGCCATGGCTCGGTTGAAGTGCCGTTGTGTTTTTACTTCACTGCTGTCCTCAAAGTTAGCTTCTATAGATGTGATCACCCCAAATATAACACCAAGGACCAGGAACAAGATGATAAATAGTGTGTATTGTGTAACAGAGGGATTGGGTGTCCCATCCATCTCTCGCAAGTGAGCCTCTGCAGGCTGGTAGCCTGGGTTCAAGTCTAGTGCATGTCTGAAATGTAGGGTAGCCTCCTGGTAATGTCCATAGGCTTTTAGAATCTCCCCCAGTGTGTAGTGTTGAAGCCACGAGTTCTCACTGTTTGGTTGTTGCATCACCAGCGAACGTCGTGTAAGGAATATGGCATCGTCCAAATATTGTAGATTAAACAACACACGTGCCAGGTAGAGTAAAACCTCCGGGTTATTGGGCGATATAGACAATGCCTTACGGAAACACTCTATAGCAAACAGACTGTTGCCCTTTATTCTCCAGAAATTTCCTATTTGACTGTGAGTCTGTACAGATTTAGGTTTCTGAAACAAAAACATCAAAATAGACAGTCAAAATGGCATTCAGACACCAAATAAAAAATTATGAAACATTTTTTTTTTGTTTCTGTTTCTTGTAAACATAAGACATTGTGACATATACAAACATTTACATTACATACTGGACAGTGTGATACTGTGAACCATACACCATGTGCTGTCAACCTTGCTATAAAAGTGATCAGATTACTAACACCGACAATGAAGATATTCAAATGAAGTTTCAAACATAACAGGTATATCAGGTTTAATTTAGGAGAAATTAATTACTTCACCGAGCTAAACAATACATTTCCCCTCCTGGCCACTAAAAGCTATTACACTGTTACGAGAGTTATAAAGACAGTACTGTTTTGTGTTAATTTGAAATAAACTTAAGTATACAATTAATGCTTAACTGAATTTAATAGAACAATGCAATGAACAAGCTTGACAATCTGACAATACTGTTTCAAGACCATTGTATGATAATGTTATATAGCCATTTGTAAATGTGAAGTTTGATCAAATTCCTGTAAGGAATATTAATGAAATCCCAAGAGGGTTAATAACAATTTTCTAATAATAGTAACAGTGGCCTTGACCAAAAAACCCTGAAACTCGAACTTGTTGTTTAAATCTGCCAAGGAATCCAACAGTGCACTGACAATGATTTTCTAAAAATAGTAACAAAGACACTGAATTTGACCCAACAACCTTAAAAATCTGTCTTATCCTAGACAATTTGATACTTTGTGAATGTGTGAAGTTTGATGAAAATACAGAATTCTTTATCCTCTAGCTAGGACAAAGTCCCCAACCCCCACTTGGTGTCACTAATAGGGGACTTATACAGAATTCTTTATCCTCTAGATAGGACAAACTAAGTCCCTAACCCCCACTTGGTGTCATTGGCAGGGGACCAATACAGAATTCTTTATCCTCCAGATAGGACAAACTAAGTCCCCAACCCCCACTTGGTGTCATTGGCAGGGGACCAATACAGAATTCTTTATCCTCTAGCTAGGACAAGCTAAGTCCCCTATCCCCACTTGGTGTCATTGGTAGGGGACTAATACAGAATTCTTTATCCTCTACAGGGTTTTCCATAAGAGCCGGTCGCCGGCCAATTTGATCGGCAACTTTGATCATTTGGCCGCCTACACCAATCCAGTTCCGTAATAATGTTCCGTACACGACTACACGTACATGGAAGGCCAGCCTCCTAATTTCACTACACAGCCTACTACTAACAAATTCATGGAAAACCCTGCCTCTAGCTAGGACAAACTAAGTCCCCAATCCCCACTTGGTGTCATTGGCAGGGGACTAATACAGAATTCTTTATTCTCTAGCTAGAACAAACTAAGCTATAAAGTCATTACAGATCATCACTTGCATACTGGCAAGGAAGGGAAGGACCTTTAGCTTTAGTTGGAACTTGATATACTTACCTTATAGGTAAGGAAGGTAAGTAGATTGTCAAAGCAATTTAGTTAAACATGTAAGGTGTATAATCCAGACATTCAACTTACATCTTTCTTTGATTTCTTAAGTCTTTCTTCCAGTTCATTCATATCTATTTCTGAAGTTTTGCTGCCCTTTCTGCGAAACATCATAGCCACCTCTGGTTCTGGAATATGACTATGTTCGTTCCTGTTGGCAATTCCTCGTAAATGATCATATTGAGTATAATTTACTGGTTTTCCACAAGTCAGCTTTTTCTTTTCAGGAGGAGGTTTACTTTCTATGGAACTTGTTGAAGTCCTACAAAAAACATTAAACACAAGATGATGCAGTTTGAGACAGAGAAAAACTTTTTTTATCAGGAAATGGTTCCTATACATATATAACACATTTACATATACAGTATGTACCCTCCATTGTTCACTAAACTTATAACCTATTACTCCTAAAAAGCACAAAGTTAATGGACGCAAAAAAGTTGTTTTAGTCAATGTAGAAAATATGAAAAGATGTATGTACTTGAAATATCAATGAGGGTGACACTTCTACTGAAAACATATCAAAATGTGTTGAAATTTGAAAAGTTTTTTCAGAATATGTGACCCGAATCTAAACCATTTTCTGCTGAAGCCAAGCAAACTTGCAAAACAAGAGGTCTAATTGGCCTGTATTGCTCATCTGCTCTACAGCTTACACAGACGACTTTGTCAGTTTGTTTTGTAAGTTTCTACAAACTTGAAAGTCTATTCATGCTATTGATCCCAGCCCTTCAATAATAAATGCTTACTGGTAGGAGTCATTTAACAACATCATCGACCCATGTGACCTTAAAAGTAAGTCAAGGTCATATATTTACTTGGAACAAATCTGGTAGTTGATGCCAAAGGGATGGATGTACCACAGACTGACATGATGTCGCAACACAGCCTAAGTTCACTTGCCTGAAGCAGGTAAACTGATGACATTTGCTTATGTTATCAAATAAAATAGTACAAAATACATGTCATAGAACCACAAATTAGGTGAAGTGAGTGTATAAAACTAAGCAGAAAGAAGAAACTATTGTAGCATGCTTTTTATGTTTTATTTGTTTTGACAGCACATTATCTATAATAAAGGATTTTTTCATTTAAATCTATTCACATTTGATACTGATGATGGTGATTACATTACCTAAGAAAGAAATATAGTATACAGACAGCTAGAATATCAAGGACCAAAGTTCAAGTGTTTGGTTTTATACACAATTATGTTAAGGTCATGCATTTGAATTAATTTGGTAGTCCTACCTTATCATGCTACAGACCCACTCTGTGCCTTTCACTTAATCAGAAAAAGTAATGTTTGAAGATTATGACACACTGAATCCTAATACCTTGAAAGTTGGTCAAGATCATTAATTTAAACAAACATATATCACTTAATCTCAATATGTTGCAGGTCCAATACTGGCACCCTGTGCCTTTTGACTTTTCAGAAAAGGGTGTTTTATATCTTCAATTCCCTATGACCTTGAAAGTGAGCTAAGTTAATTAATTTTAACAAACTTTGTAGCCCTTTATCTCAGCATGCCTGAATCTCCCTTGAGTTTTGGTTGTAAACCTACCAAAATGTAAATTCGCACAGGACCGCTGGAAATGGTAGGTGTACTGGAACGTGTCTAGTGAGAATCTGTACAATGGTGACCATTGTAAACATGCTAGAAAGCAAAGTTGTTGGGAAAATGAGTGGAAATTCTTAGTTTACAACATTTAATGGCTTTGACATATGCAAGTTAGCAGAAAAATGTTTTCATTGCATTAGAGTTATTGAAAAGAAGTTGGTTTAAGATTTTAATGTATTTAATGCCTACAATGACCTCGAAAATGGGTCACAGTCACTCTACTGGACAGACATGGTAGCCCTTTATCCCAGCATGCTATAGGCCTAATATCAGTACCCTTGGCCTTTTGGTTATTGAGAAGAAGTTGTTTGAATGCAAAGCTGAGCATGACACACAGTGGAAAGCATAAAAACAGACAAAACAAGATGACCTAATAAGAGTAGGGTAATGCCTTAAAATAAAGCTGTGGTAGGCACATTGAACCAAGTAAGTACAAGGAAAGAAAGCATTGCTGGTACATTGTATCTACATTGCAGAATGATGCCGGTCTTCGCAGTTTACCATCACTTCAGATTTTTTCAGATTTGTGTCTATCATTTGTAAAAGGTCATCAAAATACAAGTGGAACAAACTCATTGCACAGCATCAAAGCCAAGTTTTGTGCAGAAAAGTTCAACATATATTGTACAATATGAACTGGCATAACATTTTTAAAACACTTCCTACTAAAATGTATTCCAGCATAACTAGAAACCTATATTTCCAGGGAGACTGATAAAGTTATTGTGGATAGTTGTGACCCTTAGTAATATCCACACATTACTAATAGCTATATTAACCATTCTGCCATATAAATGAAGGGAAATGCCAACTATCTAAGGATCTCAAGGAAAGCAAGTTCTACACAATTCCCTTTTCCAAAAGTATATGACCCCGTAAACAACAACAACCCAGGTACATTATCCCCAAAGAAGCATCTCAATCTACCCTTGGAGTAGTCAATGCCACCTACAAATATGTAATACATGGTACGGGAATCACAATACATCGCAATGCAATATATACCTTTCTGTTTTATCTGTTACTTGGTGACAAGGTATTTGTTTTTGTTCGTCTTCCACTCGCCATTCACCATTTTCAGTTACTTTACGAGTAAGAATTGTCATCAACCCATCTTCTGTGAATCCATCACTGTCCGATTCCTCAGCTTGGACTACTTTACCCTCGTCTGCATTCAGCCTCCAATGATTAGCACCTGTTGAGCTCCGAGAGTTACTGCTGACAATGTGCATGGATACAACATATAGTGCCATATAGGACACACTTGGTAAGTCATAAGTCATGTTTCGTTATCACAATGTTGACATCGGTGACAGTTCGGTAATACATATGGCGGATGCTGGCAACGACACCTTCAGGCGATCTGATCAGGAACGATAACTCGATTTCGGCGGGACTTTGCTTCATTAAAGCAGCCGATCATTTCATTTTATATTTCTCATCATGTTTTTGAACGTAACTTTCAATGACAGAAAAAAGTACAGCTTCTTGAGTATATTCCGGACTTCATACCAACCTGAATATTAATATAATGTTTTTAAACACAAACCAACGAAGTTTCTAATTTCTAGTCTTCAGTTTAGAATCGATAGAAGTTTTTTTGAAAAGCCGTGTATAGCAGCATGTTGTGAGCTGGTGTTACCAGGGACGTATAAATCTGTATTCTACGTCCCTGGTGTTACACATAAAATGTGCCGAAAGTTGCATCCGATTACTATGTACAAGAAAGAGCTATATTTTCAATTGAGAAAAATGATCTAATATCATCGAGTAATTTAGATTTTGAAAACAGACAATATTATACATTAATTTTCAGTTTGCTGTGTTTCCGTGTGATTAATCCGCCATCACTATAGATAACAATGACAGCTCTGGTTGATTTATAAAAATAAATACTTCAAGCAGACTTGCTTTATAACTAATGTGTCTTCCATGTACGCAATAACACGGTATCATGTAATGATTGTACCATTCGCTACGATTTGGAATAGACACAAAACATTAATCAGATATATATAATAATCATACTACCATGTAAAAGGCATTTAACTACTGTAACATGAAATGACTATCGAAACTCATTAAACTGTAAATGACATATTTATGAATTACACAAGGCGACAGTGTTGTAGATTTCTTAAACGGAAAACAATTGAATTTATTCTAAGATCTTCGAGCATAATCAATAACACACAGAGAAGAACGGGTATTAACTAGTATTTAGACAACGTATTAAGGTAGATTATAAAATCTATATCAGCTGATCACGTGACATCTCTGCGAGAGAACATTCAAGTACATTATACTATAATATCTTTACATGTCATACCTCTGTAATGACACAGGTCAGTGGTTTCCTTATCACGCATTTTAACGCTTAGTTTAACAATTTTCTTAAAATAAAAATTGTATGCATTGTGTGCATTGTTTCACATAGTTTAGTCTTCTCGTATATCTTTACATGGTCATCAAATATAATTTTCCATTTAGATCTGTTTGTGAATACACCATTCTCCATAAATTAATCAATAACTTAGTACCATTGGTATTTTTGTAGAACATGAGCAATATCAGGAACGAATTCTCTGGTGAAACGAGACGAATATTGATTAAAAAAATCTCACGTTATAAGTAACTATAATCCATACTACATATTCTACCAAGTAATATTTTCTTTATGCTGTTTAAAACCAACCGATTAGCGATATATTCATATCTTTTCTACTTCTTACACTGCACCCTTCACTTTTGATAACTTGTGCATTTATTTCTTTGGTAATCTTTTACACCGCCTCATTAGCCAATCCTGTTATGGGGATAATATCATAAAACAGTTGCCAATTAAAATGCTCCGATTTCATGGAGAACCAGGGTATATGATAAAAGCTAAGGACTGATGACCTGCGTGTGTACACCTTAAATAACAAATTAGAGAACACTCTTGTAACATTGAGTCCAGCAGATAGGACTAAAAAAGTGTCCCGTTTTCCTCTTTGTGATGTTGATAAAGAGTAGGCGTGTAATGCCGGAAGAGAAGTCAGGTTAGGAAACATCGGACTAAAAATGTTGTAAGGAGAGCTCGACAGACTTTCAAAATACACAATATACCAAATTATAATAGTTTATGATTGTTGCTGTACTGACAAAGTCAGACGAAGGACAGTAATTCTGGGACATCAGGATGACTTACAGTGGTGTCGACTTCTAAAATATACTCAACAAAAAGATATCTTTTGACGAGTATAAGAAAATGGCATTAGAATACACCGAAGGTTGTAACCAAAATCATTCAATTGTGAAAGAGAATTTGCCGATGTTTTAGTCGTTGTGTAACTTTAAAACGATGTTGACATATGTTATGTGACAGGAGACTGAGAATGTGGGGGCGATAAGGGGAGCTGCTCTGCGGCTTTGGTTTGGCGACGGAAGAGTTTTAGAAGTTACTTGTTGTAGCGGGAGGGAGAGCAGACGAATCGTGCCAGACTGGTGGCGGTAAATGGCAGTTTTATTTGTCCCGATATCTGGACGAAATTTTATATAGGTTCAGTGGTTCCGCCATTCTCAAAACGCCATGACGTTTGCGGCATTTTCCATCAGGATAACGTGCCAGCGCGCACTAGTCGCGTGAGCAGACCATTCTTGTGGCAGAATAACAGACAGGTGTTAGATTGGTCATCGAAATCACAAGACCGCTCACCAACTGAGCAGGTTTGGACCGTCAAAATGAACCGTCAATCTCGGTCGGTTTTACGAGCTACATGCGGCGACGCTGTAATGCAGCTCGTAAACAGTGACCGTAACTGTCACTTATAATGATGCGTTTGGAAACTACTCCAACGTTCATGTTAACTCCAAGTCATGTAACCATGACAGCAGTTTTATCAGAATTGGTATAATACTTTTACATAATGGTACATAAATTATTAGGATATAAAGTTGGTAATTAATAACTTATAATTACTTATATGTACTAATTAGGATATAAAGATAATAATTAATAACTTTTACTGAAATAATTACTTATGTACTGATTAGGATATAAAGATAATAATTAATAACTTTTACTGAAATAATTACTTATGTACTGATTAGGATATAAAGAAGGTAATTAATTACATGAACTTGTTTAGTATAGGTAGATTTGAAGATGGCTCCCGAATCAACCTTGTAAATCTTATAAATAGTGCTATTTTCGGAAGGAGGCTTAGAAGAGAGGTTGATATTGGCTTGGTTTCTCAACTGGTTTAATTATGAGGGTCTGTAAAGAATTCAGCGCGCGCGTGCTCGAATTGTATTCAGTCTGAAATCATTTTCTCTTTTTGTTAAATCAGTTTAATCAAACCTTTCTTCAAATCGAGTTCGTTCACACCTTCCTTTAAGTGTTGATAAAGAGAAATGACGAATTAACTTTTTCCGTCGAGTTCTCGAACGAATGCCGACACTTTGATAATTCAATGACGTTTGTTTGGAGCAGTGCCCGAAGCATGGGGGTAATTCCAGTGATATATCACATAGTATCACCTAACCTGTTTCTGTTTTTATTGGACGTCAAATCGGTATGTCATTTATTAGCGGGTTTACGATGTGTAATTTTAGTTGAATAGAAAGAAAAGTTTCTATACAGGTTTTTCGGAATGTTGACCTTCGCGTGTCAGCCGTTAAATGTCTGTGTTTATTGAAGGTCGCCGAGGAAATGAAAAACACTATCAACCACCAAGACACAGTGAACATTGTGATATATACAAGCATATATCAGTTCTACCTTCGTAAACTACAGAAAGAAAAAACAACTGTTCGAATGTGTCTGCGGGTGTCCGCTTGACCAAGTCCATTGACAAGTCTATATACAATAGCATTTTACTGGTATATATCTAGTAATAGTACCAAACAATAATACACATCAACAGCTCGGGGTTTATATTTAGGGTTTAGTCCCGACAATCCTAACACACTCATTGTACTCATCATTCGCAATCCAAACATATAATAGTCGGAATCATCTAAGCGTGAATTCGCAGGATCGAACAGATTGAAATAGTTGGACATAGCTGAGAGATTAGGCTGATCAGCCCCTCCATTGTAAAGACTGGGTATGAATGCTAGGATAGGTATATGATGAATGGGTAGATCAGTTATGAATGAGACATCGATGGGGCGATAGTTGGTGGTGACAGCTTATCAACCGCTTCCAGCTTTGGGCTATCTAGGGCACCTGTTATATTATACATGCTAGATGCATGTATTGACACAAAATCATACAGCACTTCTATTGGATTACTAAAAGACCGTATCGTAACATCACTGTCCGTATTGTGACACTGGACAAAGACTGGACAATGATTACCCTTAACTACAGGACGCAAGACCAAAGACACAGATGAGCCCAAAGAACGACTGTAAAGTATGTTCACTATACTGATAAATGTACGTGTGATATTGCTAATGCTTTGTTGTGCAAGTGGACCTGTTTTGTCAATAATTGCGATGGATTAACGGCTATAGAATATCGCTCTACCATAGAGCCGTGGTATAGATCGGTGGACTATAGCTAATTTGTCGTAAGTGATATTTAAACAATTCAGGGTATTTGAGAACAGTTTGACGCGAGGAGAGCACTTATTTTTGTAGATTAATGGTCGGGGTTTGATTTGTACTGTGTAAATACCTGTTAACTGTACAAAGTACACAGTGTGTATCCGACAATACTCCTACCGTCCAATGGTAGCACTCGGCACCATGCAGGACAGAGGATCGCCGGTGTCGATCGCTAGCAGGATCTCTTTTGCTCCTGGAACGAATTTTGATGGAAAGCTGCGTCACAACTCAGCAGCTCTCTCCACATACACGTTGAAACCGGTGAAAGAGAAGAATATACCTATTGTCGCTAAGTTCTCAGCACCTGCTGCCACAAGTACATCAATGCATTTCACTACGACAAACACACTGGATTACAGGGATCCGACTGTTTACATCAGACAATCTAGAAACCCGGTACCAAAATGGTTTTTCCGAAGCAAATCTGATTTGTTAGTGGACGATCGCGAAATAGAAGAACTTCTGAGACATGGCTCATCAGTAATTGGTCATTCTCACGCGCGTCGTCACTCGGACGTGGTAAGTGGTGCTACGCGCACTGACCACCTGACACGTGACATGAGTTGGTCCAGGCGAAACTCTGCGCGACCATACAAAGCTCCGCCAATTGTTCCGGGGCACAGGATCCAGGTTCATTCCATCGATGATGACCCTGGTTACTTGTCAGATGTAAAGTACAAACCACTGGTCGGACATACCAATGACCGCGTCATCAAGAACGCATCTGTTAAACCGGCAAATCACAGACCACTCAAGGCCGCCATGCGAGTACAGGACGGTCAGGCAGCAAGACAGGGCAAACCCAACTACAGGACAGTCCGTTTTACAGAGTCTGTCAATGTGCTACCTAAAGGAGCACCCATGTACCTGGACAGGGGTTCTATACTCCGGCCACATGACCACAGGTTGACCGCGGATGAAAACTACCGGATGCAGCGTCGATCCCTCCAACGTGCAGGAACGGAAATCAAAGATTTAAATATGAATACATTTCAAACGCGACAGCTTCGTGGGCAACGGGAAACGACCTCTTTGGATGCTATGTCTAAACTTATGGAACGAACTTATGAAAAACAAGCGAAGACAAAAGAGCTATTAAAGAGAGGGACGTAAGCTATGTGACGGTGTGGATACTACCGTGTTAAGTTCGTTTTGCTGTGATAACTACTTTACCGTTTGTGTTCATGGGAAGTCACCACCGAACGGCATCCGATTTCTAGTTTTGTTATAGTCCACTGTTGTGCATCTCTGAGTGTAGATACGCTAGATCTCGAAATTTAATACGAAAGAATTTTAGTATAATCGTGCTGATGCTATTCTGTGTTCCAGTCAGTATTCAGTGAAGATGGAATGTATATAAATTCATTTTCGGAATATAAGTAAAATCGATGGAATTTAAACATTCACAATCATATTTTTTCGAACGAACAGGAAACGTGTGGAGTTATATGTACCAGTGTGTCACGATGGATCTGAGAGGTTCCGGGACGATAACGTTCTAACAGAAGCAATCTATATACCGAGAGACACCGAGTAAACACAGACGTATGTTACAGTAATTGAGATGAAAATACTTTACAGAGATATTGTGCCCTGTGTAGGAAATTCGCAAATTTTACATAATTATGTTTTTAACTTGTAATAATATTTCATTTATGTCGTTAATGTCTTAATCAGTAAAACCATTGTTGTGTTATACTTTGTATTTTCCATGTGTCACACTTTCAAATCATAATAATATTTACCACCGTCCGATTCCACATTATTATTAAGGGACTAGTCCCGCTGTATTGTGACGTCATAATGCTCGTGCTGGCCATTCCATGTTGGGCTGTTCCCATGCTTGGATTTATTTCTTTATATAACGTGACATTTTTGTTCGGTATGACTGGTAAGCAATGTGGTATTGGTGACGTTGATATATAAACTATAAATTATTTTCTGTCTATAATTACAGTCGGTGTAACAAGATATCCTTCGGGCAAATGTTCGCTTAAACTCGCTGGGAATTTGCCAGTATGGAAATTATCATCATATCAACTGTAATCATAGGAGGAAAATACTTGATTTTTCAAAGAAATGGTTCAAAGGAGTACAAGGGGTGAAGAGGAAAGATAGGACTTGAGGGTCAGAGTGGTGTTGATTTGGTATCGCGTGATCCATACTCGGCCGCCAAATCTTTGATCACGCACTGATATAGACCAAATCTTTGACGCATTGATATAGCCACATCTTTGACGCACTGATATAGCCAAGTATTTCTGAGGATGACCAAATCTTTGGCCGCCAAATCTTTGACACACTGATATGGTCAAATCTTTGACGCTGATATGACCAAATCTTTGACGCACTGATATAGCCACATCTTTGACACACTGATATAGCCAAATCTTTGACGCTGATATGGTCAAATCTTTGACGCTGATATGACCAAATCTTTGACGCACTGATATAGCCACATCTTTGACGCACTGATATAGCCAAATCTTTGACGCACTGATATAGCCAAATCTTTGACGCTGATTTGATGCTGATATGGTCAAATCTTTGACGCACTGATATAGCCACATCTTTGACACACTGATATAGCCAAATCTTTGACGCACTGATATGGCCAAATCTTTGACGCTGATATGGTCAAATCTTTGACGCTGATATGGTCAAATCTTTGACGCTGATATGGTCAAATCTTTGACGCTGATATGACCAAATCTTTGACGCTGATATGGTCAAATCTTTGACGCTGATATGACCAAATCTTTGACGCAGTGATATAGCCACATCTTTGACACACTGATATAGCCAAATCTTTGACACACTGATATGGTCAAATCTTTGACACACTGATATGGCCAAATCTTTGACACACTGATATGGCCAAATCAAGTTTTTTAAAGCAACAATTGTTAATATCTGTGCCCTATCACGGACGTACCAACCGAATACTTGACCGTATAGATACGCTCATCAACAGTGGGCAATATTAATCTTATCGTTATTAAATTTCGTTTGAATGAAAACCTGGTATTTCAGAAAAAAGGTGCCAGGTCTAATAACATGCTCGGACGATATTGTGTGTGTGTTTTTTGTTTTTGTTTTTGATGGAAACTGTTATTACAAATGTAATGAAGTGGACAACTGTAGTGTTTTCCCATGGAGACTTAGCAGGGTTGTTGTATCTGTGTTTATTTTGTACTCTTAGTTTATGTCTTTGAACGATAGCCCTTTCAAGTTAGATTGGATCTATGTTCAGTCGTTATTGTATGATATGCCGATTTATTCAAGTTGTATTTTAAAATCAACACAATGGAAGGCTTAAACAATGTCCGCACGATAGCAACAGTCTGATTCTACTCTCCAAGCTTCTCGCTGTGATTGACGAGTTTACAGGTACAATATATTTACACTGGACAAACGGTCTAGCGGACTAAACGTATCGATTTGCACACATGGTAAGATCGCATAGATATATAGTGTATACATAGATCTAGATTTTAAATGTACGAGTAAATGTAATATTTCATTTTGAAAAACGTTGTAATTTCAGTCAGATAATTGACTCATGGAAACCATGTCAGGTGCACGTGTCAAATATCAAGAGTGTTTAAAAGTAGGAGATTTTGAATGCTGTAAGTACAGTTAAGTGCCATCATTAAATACACATTATAGAAACATTAAACAAATTTCTGTCAGAATTATGAATAGAATCCAGAATTAGACAGGGACTTTCATTATATACTTCATTGGTTACAAGTAAAGGAAAAGAAAGAAAGAAAACTCATTGTGTTGAGAAGGTAATGTTTAGTCTATGTGTACAAACGGTATCAGGACAGATCTTACAGCAGATATGGACATACATGTATATAATGACACAACCGTTTGTCGATACATAGAAACACTGCCAATGTAAATGTTTATATTAAGTGAGTAATCACGCCGTCGCCAGCATGTAAGTCCTTAATTTTATTATAACTAACACATATTACCCTGGGCAGGTTATACTTTACATGTAATACCCTCGAGGAAGATCGGGAAAACCCCCGTCGACACGATTGTATGACGTAAAAACAACACTACAATGACGTCACATCTACAAATTAATAACGTCACAGATGGAAAGCATCGAGAAAATATTAATGTATAGAAGATTGGAAAGTGAACAAAAATAAATAATTTACCTTAATGAGTTATACTCTAATGATGTAAATCTGGGTGGATAGGGTTATATCAACCCTCTGGAAGCCTCGTGTTTCCTAATTCCAAATACTATTATAATACGTTAAATGGAATAGCTATTTTGACGGCGATCAGTGTCCGTTTCTAGGCCAAAATTTTAACACTGATGTCGGAATGGTAGCGCGCCGAATGGCAATTATTGTATCATAGATCCATCTTGTTCATTCATAAAGTAACATAGTCATCCAAATGTGAAATATGTAGAAAATGCGGCCATATAGCATACTCATTTTGAATAGCACAGTGTGGACGAAATAAGTCTCCGCGTTACTTCCTCTATACACAGAGAATGGTCACACGTATTTTAAACCAGTATGATTTACTGAGATGTGCGTTGATCAACAGATAAAAACTAGTATCAGTTATTTTTATTAAGAAATACGTACAACTGGTCTGGTATCTGATGAACCCTCGAACTATATTTTATTCATGTCAATATTACTGTTTTGACAGTCATATAGAAAAGTAGTAGTTATCATTGGGGAACAGAAATGGAGTTAAGCTGGGATAGTCTTCAAACATTTCTAATAAGTACAGTTAGAAACCCATAGGCCCAAATCGGATGGCTTTATAAGTACGCTGTCGTATTCAATTCACGCAATAAGTACAATGCACAGCTTTTAAAAAGCATGTTTACTGATGGGGTAACCAATATACATTGTATTAAACTATAAACGTTTTGTTTAACGATCAACTGCGATACATGTAAACTTTGAATTTATATTAATCAGTCTTGTTGACCAGAGTTGAAGCACTAGAAATCTTACTGTGGGAATGGACCCAGCCACAGTACCCGGAGGTAACCCACGTGGTCGCCAGGTGGCATGTCCCTTACCTATTTACGTCCTATCGGGGAAACCGCACCCGTCAATCATAAAAGCATATGTACATAAGTAAACCAGGTATAAGATCAATCAATGTCACACTACATCAAGCCCTTACCACGCAGAAATCATTAATTTTAAATTCTATTAATTTATTTTCATTCACTCCGATGTGTATGCACGATATAAAAATAAATTGGAAATAATCACGCGATACAGTGTTAAGTTGTTTTATTTATATAAGTATTTCTGAGGAGTTTATCTCAATATATCTAAGCTTATCTCTACGACCTTTGACCTTTCTCGACCGCACAGGACAACATGTCGACCCTCATGTGTGTTTTCCTATGTCTGACTTTACCGGTTGTCCACGGGAGTATCACTTCCGTCATGGGCCGACTGTCGGATAGAATTTTCTTTGATCAGAACACACGGGACACTCCTGGTCATCCACCTTTTTCCTGGTCTCACGATAAAGGTCTGTATGGCTCCGATGTCAAACTTAACTTCCATGGAGAGCCGGATATGGCGCTTATAAGGGAGGCGTTCTCGATTTATGACAATAACATGTTCGCCACGGCGTGGATTACGGCGTGCCTGTTGGAGACCACTCTTTACGGAAGGGGCCCCATGTCAATCCCCGCTATGATTGATTCTGCTGTGTATGCTATTGGTAACTTTCACAACCGGAACTACAACTTCACCAACTCCATCATGACCTTCTGGCCCCAAATATACAACTACACAACTCGGACATACCAGAGTACCCCGTCAAACTTATTGGAGTTGTTCCAACTCGCGGACACCGCCCCCGTTAAATTAATAGAAGATTTGATGAAGATATTTGGATTGAAGGATATGGAACAAGTCGTGGAACGTCTAATCGCGGAAAAGTAGGTCGACTTTGATGTGAGAATGGGTTGTGATCCTTGAGGGAAACTTGGAATTAACGTGTGTTGGTAGGCGGAGATGTAAGATAGAGTCACCTCCTTTGGTCTTTAGACGAAACACCTCAACTGTATCTTATTATTAGTAATTATTATGAAAAGTTAATACATAATACATAACAGAGAGCAGTTTAACATCTCGCGAATGTAAGTCGAGGAGTTTATATACGGAGAAATGACGAACAGTTAACTATGATACATCTACACCAGCCACCACAAACATCCGGGACTCTATGTAGTCAGGGTTAGATACAGGATACCAGTTCTAATGTTGCACTTGTGTCAGAGGATCAGACTAGGACGTACTGGGTTTCTGCTATTTTCGTTCGCTGTAGCGATAACTACAGGACACTAGACATTGAAGAAGAGCCCCGTCTCTGTGACCACCTGCTACAACAGAAGAACCAATTCTCTAGATTTCCTGTAATAAGGAATATTTTAGGGATGTAAAAGAACATTTTGGTTTCAATGCGGGAAAATGCAATTTAAAATTTTTTCTCAAGACAGCTGAGGTGACATGCTGGAGATAGTATTAGTGTGTTGAGAGAGTGTTAATTGAATTTTGTCCTATTTGTGGGTTTGATCATTGTCTAGACAGGCATCTTCATGGAATCAATCCTATCATTCATCAAAAGTGGGTGTGGGTGACCCGTCCATTGAAGGTGTTTGTGCATGAGTTTTCTTATTTGTCTTCGAATTTCATTGACTAAGGGAATATAGAATTCCAATAGGATACGTTTGGTCTGTACAACTATTTTAAACTGTCTAAACTACAGTGGCAAGTTGCCGGCGATGCCTTCTCTGTGGTTCGATTGGTCTAATCATATCACCAATCCGCACAAATACATTTATGTTTTGTTTCTCATTTTTTGGTTCAAGCCGACTAAATGCTCGAGAATTCTGTGTGGTGGTGCTCGACAGGTTACCAATGCAACTCTTGTATAATGTTGCCTTTTGATTAAGCACATCGCTTAATGTTTAAGGTTTCTGAATAATGTTTAATATTTCTGAATATTGGTTTGCTATCTTACCATGACAGTAAGCCCCAAATCCCCACCGATATCCAGTGTATATAGTTTTCTCATAGACAAGGCTCCATATATTGTGGACGTATTTGTTCTGAAAGCTGTAGAAGTATTTTTGTGTATATAGCTTATACATTTTTTATAAATTACATCCACATTTTTCAGGGACATATTTGCTCGTGCTTTCCACATTCCTCCCGATTTTGACGACACTTTTGTAAACCTTGGCTTAGGGGCCCTGCTCAGACTAGCGGAGGAATTATATCCTCAATCCTGGAAACGATGGCAGACACAAAACTCCAATGTGACGTCAGCATTGCATGCACTCCGAAAGTACGCCTATAGACCGTCCTCAGCTAATCCGGATGTGAACACAATCGACCCGAGAACCTATTTCTACATGAGGTCTTTCCTTAACAAATATCATGACGAGGATCTCGCATTGGTCCCCACCTGGGTAGGTTATATTTAAGTTATAAATTATATATAACGGCATATTGTAGCTAACGAGGAATATCATCCTAAACTGTTTGTGAGAAAGATTACTTTCAAACGCTAAGTGACTTTGATATATTCAACGACAACTAATCATTATTTTGACAGTTCCGATAAAGATTTCAGGTAGACGTTTGACAGACGAATTTTGTAAACGAGGCTTCAGTAAGTAGTAAAATGTTGGCAGTGTGTCCGCTTTATTTTGGTAGATGCGATGTGTTCAATCGAGCGTTATATGAGGGGACACTTTTGGTAATGTTTTTGAAATTTAGGACAAATCTGTTTGTGTTAATCGTTATATACATGTTTTAGTGATCTAAACGATAATTCACAAAATAGAAGTTACTTTTGTACAAAACCCGCAATTCTGAATTTTAAAATGTTTCACTTTCTTTGTGATTGTGGAGTTTCGTCAAGAGCATGGCGGAGAAACATGGCTTCCGATAATTTATACCATGTCCGATATATCTTACATACCCTTTCCCTTTTCAAAAAATATTAGTCTGCAAAGACTCCCAAGGTGGTGAATTTAGCTAAACAATGACGTATTGTCTGTAAAACTTACAGTACTTACATGTGCCTATTAGGAGATACATTTGTCAACGTAAATGATACTGATGGTCTCAAGAGTACAAAAATGTTAATTTGCTGGGTTAGCATATTTATTGTAAAAACACATAAAAATTACCTCATTCTTCTATGATATTTACACACGACAGAAACGTACCTCGTTCACCTCGACATCTTTGTGTAATGTCTGTTGTTCTATTTTTGTCCCCAGAATATGTTCTATTCTCTGTTTTCATTGTTTGAGAACAAGAGACATCATCGTTCGTCACTTCGAGAACAACATTGAACTTGTCGCCCAAAAACACCCCGAGTGTTCGATGAGTTGATTTTACACAATTTTATATTTTAAATGTGTTTAAAATTGTATAGAATGTAGCCATTGAGAAACCAAATTTTCATGATAACTATAGTCCTGATAATCAAACCAATGTATCAGGATATACATATATAAACAGAATCTAAACGTCACTAGTGATGAAAGGTTGTGTAGGTTTAATGAGTATATATGTCCATAGGTTCAGAACACACGGGAGGCTATGCAGAACGACAAGAAAGGTGTGTCAATGCCTTTCTCTGTCAATAATGTTGACGTCACTGTGGCCGCTAACACCATTTACGGTCTGACCGCTGGAATCCTATCGAATATCATTGACGGCGTGGAGTTTGATGCTGACTTACAGGTTTGTCTTTCGATTCATTTCGATACTCGGAGTTTTGTGCAGTTCCACAATTCTTTTGATAAGGAATCAAATATATGACCCATTCTTCTTGGAAATAGTGCTAAACGTGTTTTTTCTGTGCTAACATTATCTGTGGGTGAATGACACCAAATGATACACAACAATCACACGTTGGTACAGTTTAGATAGGATAATTACATTATATATTATACTAATGGAATAAATCGACATTCCTCCCATTTAAATAACTTTTGTGTATAACTAGTCCGAATTATTCTGACGTTCTATGGATTTCTATATCGGTTTGGAGTCGATGACGATTGGAAATGACCATTTCTGTCCACAATTAACGTTTGAATGCCGATTAGGGTCACTTAATTCTCTCACTTTATATATAGAGCTGGACTTTCATCGATTCCTAACGTCGAAATCTATGTTTCACAGAAAATCTACCTGAATACGTCGTCACTTATTGCCGAGGAACTGACACACAACTTTTCCTCCAGGCCTGACCTGGCTCTTACATATTATCCGTCCCCACACGAGTGTTATTGGTTCGTGGCTCGAACCCTCTCGTTAATGCAAAGATATCTCTTTAACAGCAATGAGACAGATACACTTCCGTTTCCGGTAAGTGATTGATCGTATTCGGATACTCGATAACGTTACCTTTACATGGACTATATATAATGTTGTACATGTAATTGTCTAATTTAAGATGTTTCCTTGAAATCAATTTCTTGTGTTGACATTAGGTGATGACGGAGGTCAAACTCATGTTTGAGACTGCTCTCAGAACGGAAGTCACTCCAGTAATTCTCAAGGATGCCAAAGACGACTTTGAAGGTCGGATATACTGGGACAATTTCCTGGGGGACGGGGACATCAAGTCCGACAATTCCACTGAGGTTGGTATGTTTCGAGTACAACGTCAGTTCCTGGTCAGTCTGTCGTCAGAAATGCATTGTTACTAAATTGATCGTTACATAACGCACATACATATTCTGCGTTAACCTTTTGACCTTGGATGTTCTCAGATTCGTGCCGAGGACAGAATTTTCACTACTGCCATGGCGGTCAACACTCTGCTGGACGTGTGGACAGTGTACAACCAGTCAACGTTCCAGCTGGAATGGCTACCAGGTAATAATTTCTGACGGAAGGAACATGTACGGAAACATGACGGAAGGAACATGTGCGGAAACATTAAACAATACAACTTTATGACGGAAGGAACATGTACGGAAACATTAAACGTAACAACTTTCTGACGGAAGGAACATGTACGGAAACATTAAACGTAACAACTTTCTGACGGAAGGAACATGTACGGAAACATTAAACGTAACAACTTTCTGACGGAAGGAACATGTACGGAAACATTAAACGTAACAACTTTATGACGGAAGGAACATGTACGGAAACATTAAACGTAACAACTTTCTGACGGAAGGAACATGTACGGAAACATTAAACGTAACAACTTTATGACGGAAGGAACATGTACGGAAACATTAAACGTAACAACTTTATGACGGAAGGAACATGTACGGAAACATTAAACGTACGGAAGGAACATGTACGGAAACATTAAACGTAACAACTTTCTGACGGAAGGAACATGTACGGAAACATTAAACGTAACAACTTTCTGACGGAAGGAACATGTACGGAAACATTAAAAGGAACATGTAACAACTTTCTGACGGAAGGAACATGTACGGAAACATTAAACGTAACAACTTTCTTACGGAAGGAACATGTACGGAAACATTTAACAACTTTCTGACGGAAGGTACGGAAACAACTTTCTGACGGAAGGAACATGTACGGAAACATTAAACGTAACAACTTTCTGACGGAAGGTAACAACTTTCTGACGGAAGGAACATGTACGGAAACATTAAACGTAACAACTTTCTGACGGAAGGAACATGTACGGAAACATTAAACAAAACAACTTTCTTACGGAAGGAACATGTACGGAAACATTAAACGTAACAACTTTCATTGTAACAACGGAAGGAACATGTACGGAAACATTAAACGTAACAACTTTCTGACGGAAGGAACATGTACGGAAACATTAAACGTAACAACTTTCTGACGGAAGGAACATGTACGGAAACATTAAACGTAACAACTTTCTGACGGAAGGAACATGTACGGAAACATTAAACGTAACAACTTTCTGACGGAAGGAACATGTACGGAAACATTAAACGTAACAACTTTATGACGGAAGGAACATGTACGGAAACATTAAACGTAACAACTTTCTGACGGAAGGAACATGTACGGAAACATTAAACGTAACAACTTTATGACGGAAGGAACATGTACGGAAACATTAAACGTAACAACTTTCTGACGGAAGGAACATGTACGGAAACATTAAAAACATTAAACGTAACAACATTAAACGTAACAACTTTCTGACGGAAGGAACATGTACGGAAACATTAAACGTAACAACTTTCTGACGGAAGGAACATGTACGGAAACATTAAACGTAACAACTTTCTGACGGAAGGAACATGTACGGAAACATTAAACGTAACAACTTTCTGACGGAAGGAACATGTACGGAAACATTAAACGTAACAACTTTCTGACGGAAGGAACATGTACGGAAACATTAAACGTAACAACTTTCTGACGGAAGGAACATGTACGGAAACATTAAACGTAACAACTTTCTGACGGAAGGAACATGTACGGAAACATTTAACAACTTTCTGACGGAAGGAACATGTACGGAAACATTAAACGTAACAACTTTATGACGGAAGGAACATGTACGGAAACATTAAACGTAACAACTTTCTGACGGAAGGAACATGTACGGAAACATTAAACGTAACAACTTTCTGACGGAAGGAACATGTACGGAAACATTAAACAATACAACTTTCTTACGGAAGGAACATGTACGGAAACATTAAACGTAACAACTTTCTGACGGAAGGAACATGTACGGAAACATTAAACGTAACAACTTTCTGACGGAAGGAACATGTACGGAAACATTAAACGTAACAACTTTCTGACGGAAGGAACATGTACGGAAACATTAAACAATACAACTTTCTGACGGAAGGAACATGTACGGAAACATTAAACGTAACAACTTTCTGACGGAAGGAACATGTACGGAAACATTAAACGTAACAACTTTCTGACGGAAGGAACATGTACGGAAACATTAAACGTATCAACTTTCTGACGGAAGGAACATGTACGGAAACATTAAACGTAACAACTTTCTGACGGAAGGAACATGTACGGAAACATTAAACGTAACAACTTTCTGACGGAAGGAACATGTACGGAAACATTAAACGTAACAACTTTCTGACGGAAGGAACATGTCCGGAAACATTAAACGTAACAACTTTCTGACGGAAGGAACATGTACGGAAACATTAAACGTAACAACTTTATGACGGAAGGAACATGTACGGAAACATTAAACGTAACAACTTTCTGACGGAAGGAACATGTACGGAAACATTAAACGTAACAACTTTCTGACGGAAGGAACATGTACGGAAACATTAAACGTAACAACTCTCTGGCGGAAGTAACATGTCTGGACATAGTAACCTTGGTCATTTGCACATATCGCTATATTATGTATCCTCGTCAAAAAGTCACGATGTTTTATCTTTCTTTGAGAAACATAACTTTAAATGTTGGATAATGAACATACAAAGAGAAATTTTAACATAACACGTTTTGGATGTTGTTTCTAGGCGTAACTCCGAACCTAAACGACACAGTCCGGAGGGGAGTGGCGTGGCTTACTGACTTCTCTCTTAGCGCTACATACAAACCTTGGAACACGTTCTTCTCCGGGTCTGGCAAGGGTCTTAAGGTTAGTTGTAGCCATGGTGAAATGTAATGATACTATCCTGAGTATGCAGGTTTAGCTAATAAGTTTTGCAAATTAATTTTGACGTACAAGAACTTGGTGAAAATGACTAGTATTCTAATAACGTCGTTTTGTAAAGTTGAACTGACCTGCAAAGAGAAACATCGAAGTACTACCTCAATTTTTGATGACTTTCAAATGTTTATTTTTCATCAAAACATATCTTGGTACATATATTTGTCAGTTCAAATTATGAAACAATTTTTAGTAGGCTAGTCATTTTTATTAAGTTACCACCTTGTGACTTATTCAGGGCGTGGTACAGTATATTACTGTTCGACAGCTCCGACATTCCGATTTGCTCGATTTTTATGACCTGTTGGTCAGGGTAGGAAAATGCTGCCAACACATTACATTTCAAACTTTCATGGCATAATACCTTATATTGTTTTAACCTGTATATCTTTGTTTCCGTTGAGATATTCGTTCGTCAATCTGTATGGCACAGTGAGGCAGGGTCAGAGACTGGCGATTTCTAAACTATTGCACTAAATGCGTTTATATCGCTCCCTGTTCTGAAGCTTGTAAACATTATTATATTCTTTGACCTTTGTGACATTGAAAAGTAAGTATTTCATCCTAGCATACTACAGACAAAATGCCATGCATCGTGGTTCTTAAGAAGTTTGTAAAGTTTTTTTAACGCATACTGCTGGCTCTGGGCCTCTGGCGTTCCAAGTCCTGAGATTGTAAAACATGGTATTACTCAAAGGCTGTTATCACATGCCTTTTGTTATTGAGGCAAGTCGTTAAAAATGTTGTTTACCGGTTTATTTCAGAGTATGCCATTTTGGTATCCTGCCAACAGGATCGAATTCATGAACGGGACTGCCGTAAACTCGTCTGTCATACCGCATGGTGTCACTTTCCTCCTGGGAATGTCCGGTTATGTGTCCGATGAAAAATACGACGCAATGTTAAAGATGCCACATTTCGGAAAGATGACTCCAACAGAATTTGATGGTTACAATGATCCCACACAACCTCAAAGCTTTTTCCCATTCTGGTCGTCAAATTCATATACATATGCTGCAACACTCATGGCTCTCTCTAAATATACCAATATCAAACAATGATTAACCAAACCGTTTGAAACATTAAACATTGTTTTGTTATTATGTTTGCCCTCAAAATAATAAGTTCAGTAAACTAAACAATTTTCTGATAACTATGATTATGATGTTTTGTTTAGTTAACCTCCATAGTGTGTACTGGACGAATCAAATTTCGTACGTACACTGTATGCTGTTCTTGGCATTTAGCTGCGCGTATTTTATTTTGAGACTGATTATTGAATAAATGGCCACAGACGGCCATATTGGATTTTGAAATTCATTATGAATATTTTTTGTGAAGTGCTGTGGATATTCTTCAAGTTTCATAAGTACGGATCACTTGGTCTGCAGTTGTGTATGATCAGATTTGAACAGCTCCATGGTTTACTGACAAACCGTTGGAATATTTCCACCAGAATGCTAGGATTGGTAGTAACAGCTAGCGCCAAATGTTGTGTTCGTAGGATCGAAAGGCAGCCATTTTGGATTTGACAATTGAAATTTGTCATTTCAGTTTAAGAACTTTTTCCATGATTACTTATGAGACTGATCTAATAAAAAAAAAACAATGTGACTGCCAGGCAGCCATCTTGGATTTTGCTAATTTTAGTGGGTTATTGCAATGGCTATGGAGGGAACAATTTACTTTTGAGGCCAATTAGAAAGAAGAGAGATAGCAATAAATGAAAACATCCTACTGATAAATAACTAATAAGTCTCCTATAATATTGGGTGTCGTGATCACCCTATAACTTACGGTAGCTGATCTCTCGTTGCCTGAATCAATATTATCATTATAGGGGTCGGCGGCACTCTAATGCCTTTAAACGTCCTTACCGACCACAACAGTATCTACACAAATGTCAGTCTCATCGAAAGTGTCCGTCATCCATCAGGTAATCCGATTCCAATGGAGTATCAAGGAACAGCCTGCATTTTCCCCATTCCCAAGAACCGCAAAAAGTTTACCATCTATACTATAGGTGTTTTTGACATAGTTCAAATCGGAACGCATTCCTTAAAACCATTTGGTTCTCTCTCGTAAGGTCCTCGAAAATGACACTTCCGGAACACTTAAGTGTCTTGCGCGCACTTGTGATTTCGTATTTCATTATTATGTTCCTAAGCTTGGCTCTGTTAAACTTCCCTAGTCTATGCACAATGTTGATGTCATTCTTCGTCATGTTCACACGTAGTGTACTCGTAACGTAATCCACCACTTTTCCTAGGCATTCCTCAACCGACTCCTTTTCCGATTTATCTTCCAGTCCGAAGATCCGAACACGTAACGTCCATGTATAGTAGTATATAGCTACATATAGTATGTGGTGTGTAGTAGTCACTGTGGAAAACTTTCACTCCATTGTTAGAAAAAAACCCTCAAAATCACACTTTCCAGAATAAAACTTCCATGAAATGTCCGAAAATCTGTAAACCTGATCTAAGCCAGCAAGTATGGACGTTTGGAGTTATCTAGAAATAGGTGAAATGTGGTTAATTTTGCAGAGCAAAAAAATATGTCAACTGACCAGGAACCACGTGACGTCACCTCCTCCGAAATGATGATAATAATCGGGGACGAAAAAACGAAGATTATCGTTCTGTCGGGGTGACAAAACGAAAAAGTGTAGTGTAGTACAATATGGCAAGTAAACTTAGCATACAATACCTCTTAACAAACTTTATTAAATACATACCGTACATGTCGGCGATACCTCTGTAGTCTTCCGTTGTTATAGGAGTTATTCCCCTTTAACCATTATAAATTTTGGAACGATAACAGACTTCTTGGGAGTAATGATTTTAAGGAGAAACAGTTGGGACGTTATGAAACTTCGGGGCGATTTTTTGGGAGAATGTCTTATACCCGTAATAAACATCTAAAAAGTAACATAATACTTCTGTTTAGATTTCTAATATATAATTCTGAAATATTATTAATGAAATTTAGAGACGTCGATATGCACTTATGAGATAGCAAAAGTCACGAGCTTTTGTTCTATTTATTTTCTATTTCACAGCAGAGACTTCTATAGCACAATGTCTGTGTTCAGTTATAGTCAATTCACCCGTCCTCAAATGGAAATCACACGGAGTGCAAAAATACACGTTTACCGTGCGACACAGAGAAAGGTTAATGCTTATGTAATTTTGGGGTTTTCCATAAAAGTGTAAAGTACATAAAATGGGTAGAGGGATGGTAAGGAGAACAACTGCGGATGTATGCACACAATGATTGATCGTGTAATTAACATCAACACAACACTAATTCAAGGTCGCCATGCCACCAAAAATGTTGAAATTTTATATCATCACCACGAAATACGACTATGTTCTGTATAACTGTTTAAAAGCTTATAGAGGTCACTGGGTGCATTACTCCGATCCTCTTCCACGCTTCGGCGAACACAAAATAGTCAACATTTCCTCGCACGTGGATCGGAGTAGCACCGAAGTAGTGATAGAAAGTACGTTTGGGTGAGTATACGATAGTAACAGAGACGTATATAACATGATATATCCGTCTCTGATAGTAAGGATATAAATATACTGACATTTGTAAGATAATTTATTATAATCGGCATGATAACTGACCAGTCATAAGTGACACCAGACGTGAAGCACATGGTGTTTTTTTTTATCGCCTGGTGTCTGTTGACTCCATCAGCCTGGCGATACATGCCTGCATGCACACAGGCATGCAATTCATGCAGACGTCTTCAAGAATAAGGGAACCAAATGATATTAATTTTTTTTCCGATAAATTCTCTTCATATTACATAACCATGTTTATTTTTTTTTTGGTTACGACACCAATGTAAAATGCAAGTAAACTGAATATTTAAAGTAATCACAAACAAAACTTACATTTGAAAACTTTTAAAGCTGCTTATCTGATCTCTGTCTCTGTTTAAAATATTTCGAAGTTGTTTGTTATTGATAAAACTGCAAAATCTTAGTGTATTTAATGGAAAACATGTCAAGCCTTATATGATAGGTCTGCATATGTTTTCTGTTTGGACAGACAGCACAATGGACAGAGACAAGTTCACATAATCAACACTAAGATTGACCTATTAACCTTATATATATATTTGAAAAAAAATTGATGTGCAATATAATGGTATCGCATTGTCTGTTCGTCAGTCACAAGATTTTATTTATTTGGGGACCGTCCCCACAGTTTTTCAACCAATCTTAAAATTCTTTTTCAAATATGGTAGACTCGAACACCAGACATGAAATTGTGTTTTACTGAAAGGTACATGTAGTTTTATTTGACTGTATTTGAAAAAATGTTGTGCCCTTTGTGGTTTTCATAGTGTCGACTTTGTCCAGAGATCTTCACTCTTAGTATTCAACTGATTTCTCTCAAAACTTGGTAAGCTAAATCACCATGATAAGAGTTGTGATTTCATGAATATGTCAGATCAATTGGATGTATTTGGAAGAGTTACTGCCCTTTGTTGTTGATATTTCTTGAGAAGTACAAGATAGACTATTCTCAAATTTCATATGAAGCCTCGCCTTGGTCTCTTTTGCCATTTTGATTTTGGGACTGATCAGAAAAAAATTATGGCTGACAGGTAGCCATGTTGGATTTTGACAATTGAACATCTTAATCGCTATATCTTCGAGGAATTTTCAAATTTCTTGAAATCAAGACCAAGAACTGAAGAAAGGAAGGAAAAGATCTATTAAAAAAACACAAAAAACAAAGAATGGAGTCCATATTGTCACTTCTTATTACACATCACATTTAGATTGACATAATTCTGTAGAATATGAACTGATATCTGATTGGATGTTTTTGGATACTTATCCAATCACTCTGCCAAGTTTGAATTTTTGTGAAAAATGAATAATTTAATAACCACGCAGTGATTAAGTATTGTTTCCAAAGTGAGAATAATAATTTTGTTTTATTCACAGGTAGCAACACTGTATGTGTAGTCTTACTGGAATCACCATGGAAACGGTCCTGGTCATTGGAAGTGGTGGTCGAGAGCATGCATTGTCATGGAAACTAGCCCAGTCACCTAGTGTGAAGCAGGTGTTTGTCAGTCCAGGAAATGCTGGCACATATAAAAATGGGAAAATAGATAATGTTGGTAAGCTTGCTATTTTAGTTTCTAAGTAACATGTAAGCCATATAGCATGGAACAACTAAAAATTCAGATTAACCAAACGTTGTAAAGTTGTCAACGAAATGTCTTGAAAACATATGCTTCAGTTTATGTCATTAAACGAAAATTGCTGTAGTATCCTTATTGTAAATCATCCACAAGTTAACCTCGGATCGCCATTATATGTTAATCCAAAGGTCAAATTCGTAAAGGAGACTTCATATAGAGGTCAAAATGAGGACTGATTGAAGGGAATTCCGTTCATTGTCAAGTCAGTAATGATCTGACCGTTATTTCATAATTTAGGCCTGAAATAAGACCTTTCTGTGTGAAGTACCATACCACAATTATGACATTCTCAAGGGCAACACCACATTTATGACATTCTCAAGGTCAAGGACACAGTCATGACATTCTCAAAGTCAACGCCATGTCTATGAAACTTTAAAAGTCAAGACCACGATCATGGTGGTCTCTAGAACAACACCACATTTATGTCCTTGTCACAGTCAAAACCACAATCATGACATTCTACAGGTCCAACAATAACCATGACATTCTACAGGTCGAACAATAATCATGACATTCTACAGGTCCAACAATAACCATGACATTCTACAGGTCCAACAATAGTCCTGACATTCTACAGGTCAAACAATAACCATGACATTCTACAGGTCCAACAATAATCATGACATTCTACAGGTCCAACAATAATCATGACATTCTACAGGTCCAACAATAACCATGACATTCTACAGGTCCAACAATAGTCGTGACATTCTACAGGTCAAACAATAACCATGGCATTCTACAGGTCCAACAATAATCATGACATTCTACAGGTCCAACAATAATCATGACATTCTACAGGTCCAACAATAGTCATGACATTCTACAGGTCCAAAAATAACCCTGACATTCTCAAGGTCCAACAATAGTCATGACATTCTACAGGTCCAACAATAATCATGACATTCTACAGGTCCAACAATAACCATGACATTCTACAGGTCCAACAATAGTCGTGACATTCTACAGGTCAAACAATGACCATGACATTCTACAGGTCCAACAATAATCATGACATTCTACAGGTCCAACAATAATCATGACATTCTACAGGTCCAACAATAATCATGACATTGTACAGGTCCAAAAATAACCATGACATTCTCAAGGTCCAACAACAAAGGTCCAACAATAACCATGACATTCTACAGGTCCAACAATAATCATGACATTCTACAGGTCCAACAATAACCATGACATTCTACAGGTCCAACAATAATCATGACATTCTACAGGTCCAACAATAACCATGGCATTCTCAAGGTCCAACAATAATCATGACATTCTACAGGTCCAACAATAATCATGACATTCTACAGGTCCAACAATAATCATGACATTCTACAGGTCCAACAATAATCATGACATTCTACAGGTCCAACAATAACCATGACATTCTACAGGTCCAACAATAACCATGACATTCTACAGGTCCAACAATAATCATGACATTCTACTGGTCCAACAATAACCATGACATTCTACAGGCCCAATAATCATGACATTCTACAGGTCCAACAATAACCATGACATTCTCAAGGTCCAACAATAACCATGACATTCTAACCATGACATTCTACAGTCCAACAATAATCATGACATTCTACAGGTCCAACAATAATCATGTCCAACATCCTGACATTCTACAGGTCCAACAATAATCATGACATTCTACAGGTCCAACAATAATCATGACATTCTACAGGTCCAACAATAATCATGACATTCTACAGGTCCAACAATAACCATGACATTCTACAGGTCCAACAATAACCATGACATTCTACAGGTCCTACAATGACCATGACATTCTACAGGTCCAACAATAACAATAAGGTCCAACCATGACATTCTACAGGTCCAACAATAACCATGGCATTCTCAAGGTCCAACAATAATCATGACATTCTACAGGTCCAACAATAACCATGGCATTCTCAAGGTCCAACAATAACCATGACATTCTACCGGTTCAACAATAACCATGACATTCTACAGGTCCAACAATAACCATGGCATTCTCAAGGTCCAACAATAATCATGACATTCTACAGGTTCAACAATAATCATGACATTCTACAGGTCCAACAATAACCATGGCATTCTACAGGTCCAACAATAACCATGACATTCTACAGGTCCAACAATAATCATGACATTCTACAGGTCCAACAATAATCATGACATTGTACAGGTCCAACAATAATCATGACATTCTACAGGTCCAACAATAATCATGACATTCTACAGGTCCAACAATAACCATGGCATTCTACAGGTCCAACAATAATCATGACATTCTACAGGTCCAACAATAATCATGACATTCTACAGGTCCAACAATAATCATGACATTCTACAGGTCCTACAATAATCATGACATTCTACAGTTCCAACAATAACCATGGCATTCTCAAGGTCCAACAATAATCATGACATTCTACAGGTCCAACAATAATCATGACATTCTACAGGTCCAACAATAATCATGACATTCTACAGGTCCAACAATAATCATGACATTCTACAGGTCCAACAATAATCATGACATTCTACAGGTCCAACAATAATCATGACATTCTACAGGTCCAAAAATAATCATGACATTCTACAGGTCCAACAATAATCATGACATTCTACAGGTCCAACAATAACCATGGCATTCTACAGTTCCAACAATAATCATGACATTCTACAGGTCCAACAATAATCATGAAATTCTCCAGGTCCAACAATAGTCATGAAATTCTACAGTTCCAACAATAATCATGACATTCTACAGGTCCAATACATGATAATCAATAACCATGACATTCTACAGGTCCAACAATAACCATGTCCTACAATAATCATTCTCTACAGGTCCAACAATAATCATGACATTCTACAGGTCCAACAATAACCATGACATTCTACAGGTCCAACAATAACCATGACATTCTACAGATCCAACAATAATCATGACATTCTCAAGGTCCAACAATAGTCATGAAATTCTACAGTTCCAACAATAATCATGACATTCTACAGGTCCAACAATAACCATGACATTCTCCAGGTCCAACAATAATCATGACATTCTACAGGTTCAACAATAATCATGACATTCTACAGGTCCAACAATAATCATGACATTCTACAGGTCCAACAATAATCATGACATTCTACAGGTCCAACAATAATCATGACATTCTACAGGTCCAACAATAGTCATGACATTCTACAGGTCCAACAATAACCATGACATTCTACAGGTCCAACAATAACCATGACATTCTACAGGTCCAACAATAATCATGACATTCTACAGGTCCAACAATAACCATGACATTCTCAAGGTCCAACAATAACCATGACATTCTACAGGTCCTACAATAATCATTACGTTCTACAGGTCCAACAATAGTCGTGACATTCTACAGGTCCAACAATAGTCATGACATTCTCAAGGTCCAACAATAATCATGACATTCTACAGGTCCAACAATAATCATGACATTCTACAGGTCAAACAATAACCATGACATTCTACAGGTCCAACAATAATCATGACATTCTACAGGTCCAACAATAATCATGACATTCTACAGGTCCAACAATAACCATGGCATTCTACAGGTCCAACAATAACCATGACATTCTACAGGTTCAACAATAATCATGACATTCTACAGGTCCAACAATAATCATGACATTCTACAGGTCCAACAATAATCATGACATTCTCAAGGTCCAACAATAACCCTGACATTCTCAAGGTCCAACAATAACCATGACATTCTACAGGTCCAACAATAATCATGACATTCTACAGGTCCAACAGTAATAATGACATTCTCAAGGTTCAACAATAACCATGGCATTCTACAGGTCCAACAATAATCATGACATTCTACAGGTCCTACAATAATCATTACGTTCTACAGGTCCAACAATAACCATGACATTCTACAGGTCCTACAATAATCATGACATTCTACAGGTCCAACAATAACCATGACATTCTACAGGTCCAACAATAATCATGACATTCTACAGGTCCAACAATAATCGTGACATTCTACAGGTCCAACAATAGTCATGACATTCTCAAGGTCCAACAATAACCCTGACATTCTACAGGTCCAACAATAATCATGACATTCTACAGGTCCAACAATAACCATGACATTCTACAGGTCCAACAATAATCATGACATTCTACAGGTCCAACAATAGTCATGACATTCTACAGGTCCAAAAATAACCCTGACATTCGCAAGGTCCAACAATAGTCATGACATTCTCAAGGTCCAACAATAATCATGACATTCTACAGGTCCAACAATAATCATGACATTCTACAGGTCCAACAATAACCATGACATTCTACAGATCCAACAATAATCATGGCATTCTACAGGTCCAACAATAATCATGACATTCTACAGGTCTAGTCATTTATCATGACATCTCATTTTCATTACCACAATTAACTGTAGTATGACATCTGAGCTTCAGGATTGGTTTTTTCATTCACTTCAAGTTCAAGACCACACTTCTGTGTGGAGCAATTTATTTCCTGATTGATGTCCGACTCAAGACAAACTTTTGTTTTTATCTGTGGTGATAAATGTGATTTATTATTTTGTATATTTGGTTAAGAAAAAACCTGTTTTTATTCCAGCACTTAATATCAAAGATTTTGATGCAGTCATGGATTTCTGTAAGAAAGAATCTATTAGCTTGGTGGTGGTTGGTCCAGAGGATCCTTTGGCTAGTGGCATAAGTGACATCCTCTCTGCAGCAGGTAAAAAATTGTTAATGTGAGGAATTCAGGTGAGGGATGGTGACCCTTTGGGCCTTTTCTGAATTGTTTTACATGTAAAGACTTAATGATCTTGACAAAGAGCTTACACATTGTTTCTTTGTAGAGGGGGAGGGGAAGGGGGATTTGTCCAGCTGTTAGAACTATAATCCAAGTTACCTTTAATCTATTTATATGTTTCATGGACTTATATATATGTGGATTGGGAGTATCTGAGAGTTCTGAAATAGAAAATATTACGATATTCAACATTAATGTTATATGGCTGAAGCAGTCAGATAGTTTGGCCATTTTTTCTGTTGACTTTCCATCATCATTTTGCCATTTTTAAGTATTCATTGACATCTAAATTTTACTTTGATCTTGAAATTTGATGATTGACCCTTGCCAGGTATTCCCTGTTTTGGTCCAAGTGCTTCAGCATCTCAAATAGAAGCCAGCAAAGTATTCTCAAAACAGTTGATGTATCGTTATGGCATCCCAACAGCGAGGTACCAGAGTTTTACAGAGGTTGAACCAGCTTGTCAGCATATCTGGCAGTGAGTAGCATCATACAACATTGTGATACCTTAGCCATGAATCATTGAAGTTGAGTCCGCTTGTCAGTATATCTAATGGTACCACAATATACCTGCGTTAAATTAATGAGGAATCTAGGTCGCTTTTCTGACCATCAAAGATCACCTTAGGGTCAACACTATTCCAACAAATCATTATATAGCAGCTACTGTGTTGGTAACTGTGACATTTGTTTACAAACTGTTGGATGACAAATTCACATTGCCTCAATCTTTTCCTGGATGTATTGCAGCACTTTGATATAAATGCCCACATTGTTTCATTTCAGTTACACACTGACACAGCATTAATCTGTAAAAGAGACATATTCACTCAAAGGGCATGTGACTCCATTCAAAATGTATTATCCTTAGTAAAATAATAGACTTTACCCGATATATCCTTATTACTGGAATAGAGTTTACAAATTTCTGTTAGTAGCTTAATTATTCATTAAACTGTTGTCTATATTTGGTGTTGAAGGTCAAAATATCCAGCTCTAGTGGTAAAAGCAAGTGGACTGGCGGCAGGGAAAGGTGTGATAGTAGCAGAATCTAAAGAGGATGCATGTCAGGCTGTCAGAGAAATTATACAGGTATGATCAGGTAAATTATACAGGTATAAATGATAAGGTAAATTATACAGGTATGATCAGGTAAATTATACAGGTATGTTCAGGTAAATTATACAGGTATAACTGACAAGGAAAATTATACAGGTATAACTGACAAGGAAAATTATACAAGTATGATCAGGTAAATTATACAAGTATGATCAGGTTAATTATACAGGTATGATCAGGTAAATTATACAGGTATGATGAGGTAAATTGTACAGGTATAACTGATAAGGTAAATTATACAGGTATGATCAGGTAAATTATACAGGTATAACTGATAAGGTAAATTATACAGGTATGATCAGGTAAATTATACAGGTATGATCAGGTAAATTATACAGGTATGATCAGGTTAATTATACAGGTATGATCAGGTAAATTATACAGGTATAACTGATAAGGTAAATTATACAGGTATGATCAGGTAAATTATACAGGTATGATCAGGTAAATTATACAGGTTTAAATTGTGAGTGGTATATAAAGATCTTTTGGTAAATGTTCAATTTAGGGATAACTTGTCTTTAATATACAAGTGTGTAAAATATTACAGAATGTCAACCTTTGCTGAGATCATTGTGGTTTTACAATATGTAGATTACTATTTTTACATTGATTGGTATTGAACAGGAGAAGAAGTTTGGTATGGCTGGAGAAACAGTTGTGGTGGAGGAACTCCTGGAGGGAGAGGAGGTCTCTGTAAGTAACAACCATTTTCACCCTCTGCTTTGTTTTATACTGTTGTCCTGGAATAATAATTACACTGTGGTATATACAGACCATTATCAAAGGTTGACATCAATTAGAAATGAATTTGATTTATTTTCTAAGAGATCATCACTGAATTTGATGTTGTTAAAAGAATATTGAGAATATTCAGTCCAGTAAAGATAACTCTTGTACATCTATGACAAGTGTTTATTTAAAAGTAGTGATCAGCTATTGATAATTAAACTTTCAGTGTTTGGCATTTACTGATGGCAGCACAGTTGTTATGATGCCACCAGCACAGGATCACAAAGCCCTGAATGAGGGGGACACAGGCCCAAATACAGGAGGCATGGGCGTGGTCTGTCCCTATCCAAAGGTAAACTAACATCACAGGTGTGGTCTGTCCCTATCCAAAGGTATACTAACATCACAGACGTGGTCTGTCCCTATCCAAGGTAAACTAGCATCACAGGTGTGGTCTGTCCCTATCCAAAGGTAAACTAACATCACAGGCGTGGTCTGTCCCTATCCAAGGTAAACTAGCATCACAGATGTCTGTCCCTATCCAAAGATAAACTGACATTACAGACGTGGTCTGTCCCTATCCAAGGTAAACTAGCATCACAGGTGTGGTCTGTCCCTATCTAAAGGTAAACTAACATCACAGGTGTGGTCTGTCCCTATCTAAAGGTAAACTAACATCACAGGTGTGGTCTGTCCCTATCCAAAGGTAAACTAACATCACAGGTGTGGTCTGTCCCTATCCAAAGGTAAACTGACATCACAGACGTGGTCTGTCCCTATCTAAAGGTAAACTAACATCACAGGTGTGGTCTGTCCCTATCCAAGGTAAACTAACATCACAGGTGTTGTCTGTCCCTATCTAAAGGTAAACTAACATCACAGACGTGGTCTGTCCCTATCTAAAGGTAAACTAACATCACAGGTGTGGTCTGTCCCTATCCAAAGGTAAACTAACATCACAGGTGTGGTCTGTCCCTATCCAAAGGTAAACTAACATCACAGGCGTGGTCTGTCCCTATCCAAGGTAAACTAACATCACAGGTGTGGTCTGTCCCTATCCAAAGGTAAACTAACATCACAGGTGTGGTCTGTCCCTATCCAAGGTAAACTAGCATCACAGGTGTTGTCTGTCCCTATCTAAAGGTAAACTAACATCACAGGTGTGGTCTGTCCCTATCCAAGGTAAACTAGCATCACAGGTGTTGTCTGTCCCTATCCAAAGGTAAACTAACATCACAGGCGTGGTCTGTCCCTATCCAAGGTAAACTAACATCACAGGTGTGGTCTGTCCCTATCCAAGGTAAACTTACATCACAGGTGTGGTCTGTCCCTATCCAAGGTAAACTAGCATCACAGGTGTGGTCTGTCCCTATCTAAAGGTAAACTAGCATCACAGGTGTTGTCTGTCCCTATCTAAAGGTAAACTAACATCACAGACGTGGTCTGTCCCTATCCAAAGGTAAACTAACATCACAGGTGTGGTCTGTCCCTATCCAAGGTAAACTAGCATCACAGGTGTGGTCTGTCCCTATCCAAAGGTAAACTAACATCACAGGTGTGGTCTGTCCCTATCTAAAGATAAACTAACATCACAGACGTGGTCTGTCCCTATCCGAAGGTATTCTTACATCAAAGGTGTGGTCTGTCCCTATCTAAAGGTATACTTACATCACAGACGTAGTCTGTCCCTACTCTTAGGTAAGCTGACATGACAGGTAGAGTTTGGTCGTATCCAATGGGTAACCGCTATCCTAAGATAAATATTCATAACAGATTCATACGGTTTATTCCTATTGAAAAGTAGACTGCATCACAAGTTAAGTTTGTCCCAACCCTTATATAATGGTCTGTCCCCCATGAAAGGTAAAAAAATAAAAAGAGAAAAGAAAGAAAATCGTTAGGTAAACGAAAGAAGTTTATAAAATGGTGGATACAAAGATATCTTTGGATTTTCTTGTTGTTTTTGAAAATGGCTGACATTGTGTATCGCAAAATGGTGTTTTTCAGTCTTGTTTTTAGACAATGATATTTGTTGATGTTGTCATAGAATGTTTAGAAACTGTCATATACACATTTAACATTCAAGGTTTCAAAGGCAGAACTGAAAAAAATACAGATGGATATACTACAGAAAGCTGTTGATGGAATGAGAGAACAGGGTACACAATACAAAGGTAAGGATAGAATTTTTAAGGAAAGGCTGAATGTTGGAAATTAGGTTTTATTTCACAAGTTTAGAACTGAATTAAGGAAAAGGGCACAGCTTATTTAATGGTTGGAACAAAATAAGGGAACAGCTCACACCATATAAATGTAGTGTAGGAATGAGAGAACAGCTCACACCATATAAATGTAGTGTAGGAATGAGAGAACAGCTCACACCATATAAATGTAGTGTAGGAATGAGGGAACAGCTGACACCATATAAATGTAATGTAGGAATGAGGGAACAGCTCACACCATATAAATGTAATGTAGGAATTAGAGAACAGCTCACACCATATAAATGTAATGTAGGAATGAGGGAACAGCTCACACCATATAAATGTAATGTAGGAATTAGAGAACAGCTCACACCATATAAATGTAATGTAGGAATGAGGGAACAGCTCACACCATATAAATGTAATGTAGGAATGAGAGAACAGCTCACACCATATAAATGTAATGTAGGAATGAGGGAACAGCTCACACCATATAAATGTAATGTAGGAATTAGAGAACAGCTCACACCATATAAATGTAATGTAGGAATGAGGGAACAGCTGACACCATATAAATGTTATGTAGGAATGAGAGAACAGCTCACACCATATAAATGTAATGAGGGAACAGCTCACACCATATAAATGTAATGTAGGAATTAGAGAACAGCTCACACCATATAAATGTAATGTAGGAATGAGGGAACAGCTCACACCATATAAATGTAATGTAGGAATGAGAGAACAGCTCACACCATATAAATGTAGTGTAGGAATGAGGGAACAGCTCACACCATATAAATGTAATGTAGGAATGAGAGAACAGCTCACACCATATAAATGTAGTGTAGGAATTAGAGAACAGCTCACACCATATAAATGTAGTGTAGGAATTAGAGAACAGCTCACACCATATAAATGTAGTGTAGGAATGAGAGAACAGCTCACACCATATAAATGTAGTGTATGAATGAGGGAACAGCTCACACCATATAAATGTAATGTAGGAATGAGGGAACAGCTCACACCATATAAATGTAATATAGGAATGAAAGATTAGCTCACTCCATATAAATGTAGTGTAGGAATGAGGGAACAGCTCACACCATATAAATGTAGTGTAGGAATGAGGGAACAGCTCACACCATATAAATGTAGTGTAGGAATGAGAGAACAGGTCTTTCTGTACTATTTTTATCAAGTGATTGTGTTGATAATTGTGGATGATTCTTGTTAAATGATGATACCAACTGGTTTGACTCTCTGAAGGTGTGCTGTATGCTGGCATAATGCTAACATCAGAAGGTCCTAAGGTACTTGAATTCAACTGCAGATTTGGGGATCCAGAGGCACAGGTCAGTTGATAACTTTTTTATTCTCCAGCAAGATTTTTGGTTGTTTTCTTGTGGTCTTTTTGTCTCTTGTTTCAACTGAAGTCTGGTAGTGTGCAATGAATGCCTTCTGTTAGAGTGTCCATCTGTCCATCTGTCTGTGTGATGCTATATGTTAGCAATGTTTCTGGAGCATTTAACAGTTACTGTCTCATTTACAGACATGAGTTTTGGAAAATAAGTAAAACATCAGATGGCGGTTTGTTGTGTACTAAAATGACGTCACGCAATCTCTGTTTGATCTTTGATTGGAAATACAACGACTGTGACAATATATGATATCATATCATATTGCAAAATTTTCTTATATATCGTGTCTATTTGTTTTGTTTTATCATGATTCTCTCAAAGTACTAACATGTCAAGTGATCTTTATCAAACTCCAAAAATGGACTGATACTTTTTCAGTTCTTCAGCAGAATCAACTGTACAACCATACCTTGGCAGTATAAGAAATTATACAAAAAAATGTTTTGATTGTGTACTTTTGTAGTGTATAGTTTTGGTAATATTATTCACTCAGTCATTATGAAGTAGAACATTTGAGAATATGTGTATCATGATATATGGAATTGTAACCATGATACCATGATATATATTGTATTATGAATTATATGTATTGTTGCCACAAGGTTTCCAGAGGCTAACACAGTCATGGTATAGCATGTATGTATATTAAGATTAGGAAATAGGTATAACAGTGAATGTGTCACATATTATTGAACCATGGTGACTCTTCAACTACCAGAAATAAAATCCATAAAATTTGGTGAATTTATTATTTTACTTAGATTTACCATTCTAACAAAGCAGCTACGATGAGATGTTTAGTTGTGCATTATTCTCGTATTTAACAGTCTGTTTAATTGCAAGTATGTTGGCACAGTTATAGTATTTTATATAGCGCTGATACACAGAAGAAGTCTTCCTCTTCTACTTAAATCTTAACACTCAAACAGAAAGTATATGTAACATAAACATTATACCAGACTTTGTAGATATAAAGATAGTTTACCATGCTTGCTTTGAAATTGACATTGTCAGTTACACTTTCTGTTTCTACTCTTGTGTTCCTCAGGCAATTCTTTCCCTGATGACCTCTGACCTGTTTGATACTTGTCTTGCTTGCACAAATGGAAGCTTGTGTGACCACATTCCAGTTTTTGACTGTCAGAGCTGCGTGACAGGAATTGTAGTGGCCAGTGGAGGCTATCCAGGTTCTTATAGAAAGGGACTGGCAATAACAGGTAAAGATCAGATATGGGCTCTTTCCCCCAATCAGGAACCAGGAAGGAAATCTAGTTTTAGGTTGTTTATCCGTCCATTCTTACATCCTTCTGTTTTTCTGCCCTTCTGTCCGTTTTCCCACTATCTTGTTCAGGCACTCAAAGGCCAATAACTCTTTCTAAATACTATAGCAGTGGTATCAAAATGCTGTTTAGGAAAATGCTTTCTTAGCACAAAGGTCAAAATGGTATTCAGCATGACCAATTTCTGATCTATGTCAGACCATCTTGCCAAGTGATTCCATACCATATGAAGTTCCAGTGACAAGTAGTTTACTACCCTTTGTTTTTACACTTGAAGTCATATTTTCTTCAAAGGCAATTTGATTTTATTTTCTTATAAAAATTATAAAAAACATGTATGCATCTTTATACAAGAAAGAAATGATCTGTATCACTTCAAAGTACATGGGACAGATATATAATGCTCTTCCCTGGGACACTCTTGTTACAAGGAGTGAAAACGAACATCTTTTTGCATTAGATTGAGTAATGATGTATGTTGTTTTTATACATGACTTTTCACTGAGTTTTAAAGACATTCATCTCAAGTTAAATAGTTAGACACTGCAATAATAAAAAGAAAGTGAACACTCAGTCATATAGACTTAAACACTAACATCTGACTGTGCAGGACTGGACCGAGCTGAATCACACGGACTGACAGTGTTTCATGCTGGAACAGCTCGAGAAGAGAATAAGGTGGTGACCAATGGTGGCCGTGTTCTGGCTGTCATGGCAACCAGTCACAACTTTCGTACTGCTTGTAACCTGGCAACTCGAGGTGCTGCCCTAGTGAAATTTGATGAAATGTTCTACAGGAGAGATATTGGGTTCAAAGTTCACTCAAGGTTGATGGATAATGTATTGGATATAAATTCTTCTTATGGTAGAAGTTTTGAACATGTATATAACAGATCATGTTTACAAAATGTTTGTTCATTTCACAGTTTTAAGTTTGTTGATACTGATACTGTATAATGAATAATTTTTTTCTCTTTTTTTACATTAATGTATTTTTTCATCATCATATACATTGTCAGTAATTTAAATAATACCACCGTTTAATTGTTGATGGAAAAGGATGTTCCTAAGTTATCTTAATTTATGTTCAAATTGGATTTTTCAAATAAAATATGTCTAAACTAAACTACTGTTTAGAAGATTGAATTAGTCACATAGGATGTAATGGATTATTTATCAACCTTTGTTGACGATATAAAACAATTGAATATTTTGTTGAATCAGTTGTTCCCCAGAGCAACCAGGGCTGACCTATCGAGATTCTGGTGTAGATATTACTGCTGGAAATACTCTTGTGGAAGCCATCAAACCTCTTGCTTCCAAGACAAGTCGGGCTGGATCCGCAGTAAAACTGGGAGGGTTTGGAGGGCTGTTTGATATGAAGGAAGCTGGTTATACTGATCCGATCCTAGTCGCGGGCACAGATGGTGTGGGCACAAAACTGAAGGTCAGTTCAAGTTAATGTCAGTGAAAATCCATAAACTATTCAAGGTCCGTATTGAGAGAAACAGTCGTGAATGTAGTGGTATTATGTTACTATAATGAAATAACAATACATGGCATCTAGGATGATTTAGGCTGCAGTATCCCTCTTGTTTATTAGTTTTACGCATTCTGTGAATGAAATAAGTTCATAAATGTTAGTTGTTGCAAATCTAGATGGGGATGATAAATCATGCTTATAGTATATCATAATTTCTTTTCGTTTTTTGCAAAAATGAATCACCACCTACTTGTTAAGATGTTGAAATCGTGAAAGTTAGAAGCTGTAAAGGATGTTAGTTTACGGTATTGAGCCATAATCCCTAGACAAGACCAATGAACCAGGCCAGTTGCCATTTGATATTCAGGAAAGTTACCCTACTGTGTAGGAAGCAGCCCATTGCTGCAAGTTTTCATAAATTAATACATATTTTGTCTTGTTAACATATAACTTTGTTTCATCTCATTGGTGGCTCCCCGAATGTATAACTACTGGTTGATAGAAAAAATAATGTGCACACATTGTCAAAAAAATTAGGTCTATTACGAAAGTACCTAGTAAAGATGTAAAGAACAAAGGGCATGCTACCCTACCATACCTGGTTCTCAAACCTCCCATAATGAATGTTGATCGATAGAAAAAAGGATGTTTATTGTGAAAGTAGTTCTGACGAGGGAAGAGACATGATGTTTAGCTGAACCCATCAAGGTATTGTAAGTCCCACTGATATTATCCCTGGTCCCTTAAAGAATGTCTGTGTGTGTGAAATATAACTTAATCGCGTGAATGGCCTGATATGTTGTAACATACCTTAATAACATGGTTGGTGTCATAGATAATTCACATCTTGATGATGTGACATGACAATCTCTTGTATAAACTTCTCCGGAGTTGAAATAAGTCTAAAACTGATTTGAGAGTTTTCTTATTTTTCAGAATATGAGTTTCATGATAAATAAAAACTTACACTCATGTCCATGTGATAAAAAAATAGTATGATGAAAATTAATCTGCCTAAAGGTTGTGAAACATATTAACTATATATAATCATGTTAGGCCTTCTGTGTATCTATAGGTTGCCAAGGAGACTGGTTGTCATAACACTATTGGAGTAGACTTGGTTGCTATGTGTGTCAATGATATACTGGCACAAGGAGCAGAGCCACTATTTTTCCTTGACTACTTTGCCACAGGAAAGCTGGATGTGAACGTCGCTAAGGAAGTGGTAGCTGGGATCACCAACGGCTGTGTGGAGGCTGGATGTGCTCTTATAGGTATTTATAGACCTGTTGAGAAGGGAAATGTTCAGGTTATATAGGACCTCCTCAGGTCAGAACTCTAAATCTCAGATACTGTAAGATTTCAAGGAAGAGTTATTTTTGTATGGTTTGTGGTTACTTTCAATTCATCAATTCCTAGCACTTGCAGTCACAGTTAATCAATCTGTAACAAAGACATTCCAAGCAATAATTTGTAAGAAACAATTATACACATTTATACATTATTTTCCTTCTCCTATGTACAGGTGGAGTAATAATGAATTTGAATGATCTTTATCTCCGTAACATAATAATCTCCAGAGCATAGTTCCAGAGTGTAGTCCTAATAACACCTGTCAGTATAGTCATAAGAAAGTATGTGGCCAACAATCTGTATCCCTTAGAATGTTGTATTAAGGTATTCAGCCCGTAAAGCCTTTTAGTAGAGACAAAACCAAAACTCAAAATTTTCACCTAATTCATGAAGATCACAATGTATATTTACCCCATTACTGACCATATTTATTCACAAGTTAATTTCATCTAACAAAAATTTAAGTACTTCAATGGTGTCACATAGCATGCGGGTTGGATACAATTAAAATATTAATGTATGCCCAATAAAAAACTTAATTTCTAACAAAAACATGTGTTTTTACATACCATAATAATAGCAATGAATAAAAGAATAGCTGCTATTCATATCACATTCGTATACAATGTGCGACATGCGAAAAGTGTTATCTCGGTACCCTCGTTGTCACTCTTAGAAAAGTGACAAAGACACTTTGTAAGGTAAACTGAGTGTGACAAGAGAGTTCCAAATGAAAAATCTGTTTAAATACTTGCTGGCACACCTTCTGCAAATTTTCAAATAACATTTAGAAACTTTTACCACATGTAATTTGATATTTATAAGTTTTAATACCCCTTCCCCATTAATTTCAATGACTCATTAGATTTCAGGAAAATTGCATACAATAGCATCATAGCCAAACAGACTATAAATACTAAACTCTTTGAAGGCTACAAGTAGAATAGTAATAAAAATTAACTATTTCTGATATTTTCTTACCTTGACCTCTGACCTTGACCCGGATTATGACCACATAATTCATTATGTAACAAAAATGAATAAGAAATCAAGTCCTTTTTGCACAAAAAAGTGTTACCATTATAGCTATATAAAAAGTTCATTTTTATCCTTCTTTTCAAACAGTTCAACAAGCTTTGGAATTACAGAATCCAGAACACGCTTTGCAGAAGAGATCCGCGGCTGTCCATTACAGTTCTTTTGCACAAATATTGCTCTCATACCATCTTCACCATCCCTTCAGAGTATTTTTTAGGTCATCTGACCCAAAGGGTCAAGATGACCTATAGCCATCGTGCTTCGTCCGTCGTCGTCCGCCGTCCACCGTGCGTAAACTTTTCATTCAAACAACTTCTTCTCAAATACTAGAAGGTCTAGGGGGCTAATACTTGGCACAGAGCATACTGGCATGGAGCTCTACCAAGTTTGTTTAAATGAATGACCTTGACCCACTTTAAAGGTCACTGGGGTCAAATATCTTGTATCTAATGTCAGATGACCGTTAAGGCCCATGGGCCTCTTGTTTAGATGTAGGAAGTTTAAGCCAAAGCCTGCAATATTTTCAGCAGTAGCATGTTTTAAAATGCCTTGTGATATGAAAGGATGTACGGAAGGCATATTTTTGCCTTTTCCGCACTGAAATTAAGGGCATGAACGTCAACTCTTTGACTTCCGAAAATTCACGATCTATATAACATCGGCATTCGTCGGGATTATAACCGGAAGTGGTCCATTAGGGTGGGAATACCTTAATGATATCCTAGGTAGGCCTCTCTGATAATAATGTTGTCTTCTCTGAAAAATACGTAAAAGTTTTAGATGTTTGTTCCTGTAGGTGGAGAAACAGCTGAGATGCCAGGAATGTACCAAGGTGGAGATTATGATGTGGCTGGTTTTGCTGTTGGTGCTGTAGAAAGAACAAATGTCCTGCCTCGTCTTAATGAAATATCACAGGGTGATGTTCTGATTGGTCTGAAATCAAGTGGTATCCATAGCAATGGCTTTAGCCTGGTACGAAAAGTGATAGAGAGACTTGGAATCAGTTTTGACATGCCGTCACCATTTGGATCAGGAATAACCTTAGGTAATACTGGTTTATAATTTCTATCACAAAACAATTATTCTTGTGTCAAAAATCATCAGATTTGGGCGTTACATTAATACATGGGGCAAAGATAGCTGTAGACCATCATACTTTGCCAGCTGGAGTGTGTGGTTTGATCCCTAGCCCAGCAATTTTTTGTATATCACAAGAAGCCAAGATCATGGACAGTAAGGTGCTGTTGTGGTTGTGCCCATGGGCAAGAACTTTACGCAAATTAATTAGAAGTTCTTATAACACAACTAGTAAAAGATAAGGGTTTGACATTTTGATTACTACACCTTCATCAGACAAATGACCAGTGTGTAGCGTACTAACACTGACATTCGGAGTGTATGAGATCTTCATGGTCACCTTCATCAAACAAATGACCAGTGTGGAGCGTACTAACACTGACATATGTAGTGTACGAGATCTACATGGTCACCTTCATCAGACAAATGACCAGTGTGGAGCGTACTAACACTGACATATGTAGTGTACGAGATCTACATGGTCACCTTCATCAGACAAATGACCAGTGTGGAGTGTAGTAATGCTAACATTTGTAATGTATGAGATCTACATGGTCACCTTCATCAGACAAATGACCAGTGTTGAGCGTACTAGTATTGACATTGGTAGTGTATGAGATCTTCATGGTCACCTTCATCAAACAAATGACCAGTGTGGAGCGTACTAACACTGACATATGTAGTGTACGAGATCTACATGGTCACCTTCATCAGACAAATGACCAGTGTGGAGCGTACTAACACTGACATATGTAGTGTACGAGATCTACATGGTCACCTTCATCAGACAAATGACCAGTGTGGAGCGTACTAGCACTGATATACATAGTGCACGAGATCTACACGGTCACCTTCATCAGACAAATGACCAGTGTGGAGTGAAGTAATGCTAACATTTGTAATGTATGAGATCTACATGGTCACCTTCATCAGACAAATGACCAGTGTGGAGCGTACTAGTATTGACATTGGTAGTGTACGAGATCTACATGGTCACCTTCATCAGACAAATGACCAGTGTGGAGGGTACTAGCACTGACATATGTAGTGTACGAGATCTACATGGTCACCTTCATCAGACAAATGACCAGTGTGGAGCGTACTAACACTGACATATGTAGTGTGCGAGATCTACATGGTCACCTTCATCAGACAAATGACCAGTGTGGAGCGTACTAGCACTGATATACATAGTGCACGAGATCTACACGGTCACCTTCATCAGACAAATGACCAGTGTGGAGTGTAGTAATGCTAACATTTGTAATGTATGAGATCTACATGGTCACCTTCATCAGACAAATGACCAGTGTGGAGCGTACTAGTATTGACATTCGTAGTGTATGAGATCTACATGGTTTGAGCCCTGTATGATGCAGAAGGGATCTTCCTTGCCTTCCTGTTATGTAAATCAATGCCTGGGTCATAGTTCAAACTTTACTTTTCTAGTTCATGGAGCAAATGGCAATCTTACATTGAATGAAAAAATTGTGCTGGAATATGAATTGTTTCACAAATTGTAAATATTTATTTTCTGTTGATATGATTATAAAGACATGGTGTACATCTGATATTAAACAAGAGGTAAGGATCAAAAGGATCAAAACTTTTGAAGATCGTACAGTACTGGGTACCAAGATTCCATAACATCTCATTTCCTTAAAACATTCATAGGAATTAAGCTCTTCATCAAAATAGTCCTCATTGGTTTGGCCTTAATTTACATGTTCTTGGACTATCATTTTGTCGTAGGAGAGGAGCTCCTGACCCCAACTAAGATCTATGTGAAGGATGTACTGCCTCTGATGCGTGAAGGTCGAGTGAAAGCCTTCGCCCACATTACAGGAGGGGGATTGACAGAGAACCTCCCCAGAGTGTTACCAGATGATCTAGGAGTGACAATTGATGCACTCACATGGCACATCCCACAAGTATTTGGATGGTTAGCAAATAAGGTCAGTTAATTTACTATCGAAAGTATGGACCATAATTTGTAGTATAGAGATATCACTGTAATAAAGTGGATTTAACTCTAGACTGGTGGATGTATCAATTCTAGAAACATGATTCAGGGTGAAGTTTGACTTCATGATTCAAAGATGAGAGACTCAAAGCAAGTGGGTGCATCAGGTTAGGGGACAGTTTCAACTTGTTATGGTTTTGACTTCAGAGACATAGTTTGTGGTCAGAAAGAATTGAGAGAACATTTTATTATGCAAGGGGAATCTAATTGAAAGTCACCATTAAGATATACCTCAAAACAAGGGAATGATAAAATGTTCATTCATCAGGGAAACAATCCAAGGTCAGGGAATGGACAAAAGATTAATGTAGACTTGGAAATATTTCAAAGTCAGGGAAAATAACTCTTGACAAGGTAATAATTCAAGGTGAGTTGAAAACAATGTTTCACAAAGCATAATTTAAGACCAGAGGAAGATAACTCTTGACAAAGAAGTAATTCAAAGTAAGGGAAAGATCACTCAGGACAAGAATATAATTCAGGGTAAGGGAAAGATAACTCTTGATAAGGAAATAGTTCAAGGTCAAAAAAAATATGGCTCTATTGATAGAAGTTCACAGAAAGATAACTCTAAACAAGAATATGATTCTAGTCAGGAAAAGATAATTCTAGAAATTGATACCGTATGAAAAAGAATATGGTTAGAGTTGAAATGATGTCATTGTTTTCAAGGGTAATATATCCAATGAGGAAATGGTGAGGACATTTAATTGTGGAATAGGAGGAGTGCTAGTGGTGGACAAGATGCAAGTTGACACAACAATGGGACGTCTGGGAGACAGGGCATCAGTCATAGGCTCAGTACAGGGATATAAAGGTGTGTTGTTAATCACTGAATTCTACCAATAGTTATTATCTTAGATACAAAAATGCATAACCTTGTAAATATGTAAGACTTTCTATAGGCTTTATCACTTACTGATATCTACCTGTATAAATGGTGGCTCTGACTCACATGGCAGCAGAGAGATTACATTTTAAAAGTGGGTTTTCAGGTTTGCAGAAATTGAATGAACTGAAAAAAACTTCTTCTTTAGCCGCAAAACAGTTTAGTGATTCAGACCCATTGGGCCTCTTGTTATTATTTTAAACTGTGCATTTAATCTGTGATAAAAATATGAATGTTTTTTTTCCCAAAAATTCCCCTTTGATTGAATTAAAATGTTAAAAATAAATATTGTGAAATAAGATAGTAATTGCTTTGGTGTTTGTTACTTTTACTGTAATTTTTTATAGAAGGCTCCAGGATCAGGATAGGGAAGCTTAGACAGGGTTTTACACGCTGCTGGAAGCCACTGGTAACTCCAAGGATGTGCAAGACAGTTGGGGTGCTCATCTCTGGGTCAGGTAAGAGGTGGTTAAAGTCAGTCATTTACTATTGAAAAAAAAACAACATTGTAATAAGAAATAGAAAATCATGACTACTTTTTCTCAATATTTAACAACCTTACTTAATAGATCTTGTTTTTCTTAGCTACCTATATATCTTCTTAATGAATATTAAATGATTTGTTTTTTTACAATACAACCCTGTAACTAGCAATCCATTCAGAAGAGTGGTATCAGGTTTGATATGTACAATGGTATGTTTGACTACCCTTTACTTCCAGCTTCAATGTTCATTGTAGCATGTCAATCTGCATTCTCGATACTCCTGGGGCTACAATAACTCGCTACACCACTGGAACATATCATTGCAAAAATTGGAGGCACAATCAGAGTCATTTGATTGGTCTGGAGCAGATTTGATGAGAGAAAAACGGACCAATCACAGACTGACAGCCTTCTCTAAAGATTAAAAAGCCACAACACCCTGCTTCAAAGCCAGTACAACATGTGTGGCTCCGAGATTCATTTGATGTACATTAAAGGATCAAACTAGTCTTTTTGTCTTCTGTACAAGGTGTCCCACATTAAACCTTCAATTTTTCCATGACATGTTCGATGGTTGCGGAGAGAAAAGTGATTGTAACCCCTGGAGTACCGAGGATGGTCAGTCTGTAGACAGAAGTTTGTCACCAGATGACCTGGTAAAGAAATTTAAATGGTAACTAACTAAACTTATATATAAGATAGGTACTTTATGCATTTATTTTCTCATTTGTATTATTTTTCCTACTGTCATGTCCCTATTTTTGTTACCTTTATTTGAAGTTTAATGCTTCCAGAAGGAAGAACATATAGTTGCCGCTTTGTCTGTCCATCTGTCCTTCCATTTTTCCGTCCATCATAATTTTGTCTGGCGCATAACACAGAAACTGTAAGAGGTATCAACATGAAAATTCATAGGTATAAATCTCAACAAGGAAAAGTGCAGTGCACAAATACCATCACTCTCTTTTGCATAATTTAGGAGTAATTGCCCTTTGTTATTTTTCATATTTAACTTTTGTTCCATTTGGGGAGCATAACCTGTCTCTGATGCCCCTTGCTTTTCTAGAGTTCCACTCGAAAACATTTAGTTTTCTCAGCTACCTGAGGATGAATATAAATTTTGCTATGAGTTATGCCCCTTCAATCATTACATTAGAAATGTTTTTGTGGGAGTCTGTGGTTAAAACTTATGGTTTTTGATATTAGGAACAAATCTACAGGCCTTGATTGACCACACCAAGGAACAGAACAACAACAGCTGTGCAGAGATTGTACTGGTTATTTCTAATAAGCCCGGTGTCCAGGGACTGGAAAGGGCTCAACTAGCAGGGATACCTACTCAGGTAGAAAATAACACACAGTATATATTTTGAATTGGATACAGTGTATTTCAGAACAAATCAATAAACAATAAATTAAAAAAAAATTTTTTAAATCATTCTGTTGTTTATCATGTGGAAGTCTTTGTCACAAAGCTTTGATTCCATGAGAAAATAAATAATATCATTGTCTGATTATAGAAGAATAGAACAAAGATGATTTGATATATTTTCATTTGGAAGGTTATCAACCACAAAGATTTTAAAAGTCGTCAGAGCTTTGATGAGGCAGTGCATAAAGCATTAGATGTAGCAGGTGTAGATATTGTCTGTCTGGCAGGCTTCATGAGGATCCTGACAGGTAAATATAACACTCATATCTCCACATCACAGGTAAATCTAACACTTATATCTCCACATCACAGGTAAATATAACACTCAGATCTCCACATCACAGGTAAATATAACACTTATATCTCCACATCACAGGTAAATATAACACTTATATCTCCACATCACAGGTAAATATAACACTTATATCTCCACATCACAGGTAAATATAACACTCAGATCTCCACACACTTATATCTCCACATCACAGGTAAATATAACACTTATATCTCCACATTACAGGTAAATATAACACTTATATCTCCACATCACAGGTAAATATAACACTCAGATCTCCACATCACAGGTAAATATAACACTTATATCTCCACATCACAGGTAAATATAACACTCAGATCTCCACATCACAAGTAAATATAACACTTATATCTCCACATCACAGGTAAATATAACACTCAGATCTCCACATCACAGGTAAATATAACACTCAGATCTTCTCAATAGATCATACTACCTACAAATGATATGACTTCAGAAGTGAAAGCATCATACATTTTACTCAGAATATAGTGAAGCTATTTTTTTAATGAATTTGTCTGATCAACAAAATTGTTTATTTTTGGACATATTTTAGGGGATTTTGTGAGTAAGTGGAGTGGACGCATGCTTAACATCCATCCCTCACTGCTGCCTTCCTTTAAAGGACACGATGCCCACCGACAGGTGTTGAAGGCTAACGTCAGGATCTCTGGCTGCACTGTACATTTTGTAGCTGTAAGTGTTCACAGTCTGTATACTGAGGTTTTGTATTTGATACATTTACTTTTGTGATAACATCAGATAAACTTTGTGAAAAATACTTACCATTGAATAAGAAATTTCCTCTTAGGGAAATAAAAATGTGTTAGTTTTGTAACCAGTGTCGATTACTCTGTAGGATTATTTAATTAAGTCTTCATAAAAGTGCCAGTAAATTGACAAAATACATATTGAAGATTCTGAAACAAAGCTATTGCATTTTTTGCAATTTTTGCAAGCGTTTTATGGTATTGTGTGGAAATTGTTTATAAACAAAATCCAGCCAAAACCAACAAAGTGTACACATATGTGATGAGCTTTGGACAACTATCTCATTGGAACTTTCTGCAGAACCTGGACTAGAAACTTTTAGCCTGTTGTTTGGTTAAAAAATCGACCCTGACCTACAAATATCAATGTGGAAATAAATGGTCCTCAGAATTCTAATTAATTTAAACATCAATAATCAGAAACCTCTAGTGGCAGCTTGTTCTAGAAAACAGATTTCAACCAGCTGGGATGAAATTACATTTTGATTTTAATCTACTTTCTTTCAGAATATTTTATTGTCATGGTGGTATTGACAGTAGGAATTGGGCAACAGGCAGAGCCTATGAAAGCCCTCTCCTTACAGTGCATAAACAAGTATACAGACACATCAATCAAAATTAGAGATAACAGATGATAATAATATTAGGAATAAGAATGTAGAAGATAGATTCAAATGGATGATGATATAACCGAAATGCAAAATAGGCATCACCATCGTTTGTATTATTGAGTTCCAGAACAGTAACATAAACTAAAAAAATACAAATTAGGTATCACAAGATATTATAAGACTGGGTCAAAATATGTCCATTTGTGGTGGGACAGGCTGCAGGTTCAAACAGTCCATTTGCACATAATCCTGAGCTGAGTCCCTAAAATGGACAGGTGGACCCACACTTGAGACATCAAATACAAATGAGAGATAGAAAAGATAGAAGTATAGAATGGGATGTACATTTGCTAAAATAGGCGACCAGTGTCAGTTATGAATCTCTGAACTATATCAAGAATAAATTTATTCATGTTTGCATCAAGTATAGGAGAACCTTTGAGAAATGTATCAATTGTAGGAGGTATAGAATCACTAAGGTCAGAAAGGGAATTAAAGAGGAGTTGTCTCTGGTTAGTAAAGAAGGGACAGTGGAAAAAGAAGTGGGTACAATCTTCAACTGGGTGGCCACAGTTACAGGCAGGGTTATCTTTAAGGTGGGAATTGAATAAATCAAAATTCAGATTACTTGCAGAGTTTCTTAGTTGACATAAAATTATGTTAGCTTTTCTTTGTCCTTTATATTTGAAAGTATCATTACAGTGGAAAGGAGGAATGGTAGCTTGCTGTGATAAAAAAAAGGTTTTTTTTTATCATCGCATAAATAGAAGTTAATGAGGGATACAGACAAGATGGGCCATTCCATTCATTCATGAGTTTTGGAAAGAAGCTAGTGCTATATTGACAAGTTCTTGTATGGGGCACATCAAACAATCTATTGTGTCGAAGTGGATAAGGAGCAGTATTATTGTTTATAAAAGGTTGGATAGAATCAAATACATGAGGAGGGCATCTGTTATTTAAAAGCTTAAAAAAATGGATATTTTGATGTAAGTGTCTTCTTTTAGCTAAGGGTATTAATCCAGACTCATTATATTGAATTGCATGACTGGTGCCCCGTCTTAGGCCAGTAATAATGTGAATTGCCTCTAGTTGAATTGATTCTAAGATGTTGCATTCCCTTTCTGTGCAATTAGCCCAAACAATCTACTTTCTGGTTTAAGATGATGACACACTAACACCTAACACTAACACCCTTGTTTACAGGGTATTGTCATACCTACAATGCTATTATTTTCCACTTTTGTGTCTTTATACCTATTGTTCATGATGTCACCAATTTATGTTATTTTATGATGTCACCGACACCCACCCCCTACCCCCCTCCCCCCACTTCACCCCCAGGTGTTGATACTAACACAGAAATCAAATTAACAAAGTATTGTTAATTCCTTATTCTCCTGGGGTTCAATTTTCACTGTTTTCCAAAAATATCACTCTACTTCAGGGATATTTGATTTTGTGGAGAAGTGTTGTCCAGTTGATATCCTTAAACTAATGACGGTTTGAGGATATAGAAGTTTGTGAGTTAAGAGTAACGATGAAATCAATGAAGACAAGTCCCACATGAACATGATTGATTTCATAGTACTGAAATACAGAACACAGAAATGTTGTACTAGAGTAATCCTATACATCTCTATAAAAAAACTATTGGCTAGCTCCATGTGTCTTGTATCTAGTATGGCAACACATAGACACATATTGATGAATAGACAGATGTCTCTGGCTGGAGAAAATGTCAAAACAGCAGTTTCTTTTAAATGACTTAAAAGACCTAATACTAATTTGCATGTAACAGTATTAATGATAGTGCACTCACTATTAAGCCTTTTACCATATCAAAACTTGAACAATTAAAAGTTATTATGTAAGATTAAATTATTCAAAACTGTACTAGACATAAGTCAGATGTTTCATCATAATGTATCTGCCTGCGTTAATTTATTACTGACTTCAACTGAGGATAATTATGTATTGACCGGTAGCAAGAGGTATTCTGTCGTTGCTTATCTACTACACCTGTCCTTGTATAAATTTGTTCCGTGGTTATACAAGTCATTACATGAAGCCTATCTAAGCAGTCTGTATAAAGGTCAGTGTAACCTTATCTTGTTGTAAACAGCTGAATCTGTCATGATTTATGTGTGTAAGACCATGTCAGTAACTGGTGTATTATTCAATCCTTGTTTACCTGTTAGCTGAAGTGTAATATAACTTTATCAGTTTATTAACAATTCTAGTTTAAGCAGTTTCAAATAGTTAATGTGGAATTTTGAGGTTGCAGTGTGTTATTAACATTTCGTCTTCACAGGGTAGTTCTTTTTTAAATGGAGTTTGTATACCTTAATCATGTTTGTCATCATCTTGATTTAAGGAGGAAATAGATTCTGGAGCTATCCTTGTCCAGGAATCTGTGCCAGTGTATCCTGAAGATACAGAGGTAACATTATCAGCCAGGGTCAAAGAAGTGGAGCATCGAGCCTTCCCAAAGGCCTTGGAGCTTGTCGCTAGTGGTCAGGCCACTCTAGGAAAGGAGGGACACATAATCTGGTGTCAGTGAACTGATAAAGGCCACATAGTCTGGTGTTGGTGACAGGTCATAGGTCACTGTTGTCATTGCCAAGGCAACAGAGGGCATGTTACAGCAGAGACTAAATCCTATATTGTTACATGAAAACCAAATTTATTGATAACGTTACAAAGTGTACTTATACCATTTAATATACCATAAATAAAATCTTTATTCAAGCACAAACTTATTGAAACAAAAAAAGATATATGCAGAGACTCCTGAAAAAGTACAAGGAGAATAAGACCAGGTATTCTAGAAGGGTAAGCATCTTCTGCTTCATTGATGACACCCACCATGTAAATCTTTGTCAATTCAAGTAAACGTATTGTCAGTTCGCAAATGAGAACAGAGTGAACAGCAAGGGAACCACCAGGTATACTAATGAGAACCAATTATACCCAGTTTCATATCATACTATGAAATAGAATTTCTCCATAATCCTTATCAAACCCTGTGATGTGAGTTTATCTCACAGTTGCTGACATCTTACACAAAAATTGTAATTCTGGGAGCAGGCCCTTGAATTTCACATAAACTGCCACATGCAAACACGAAAGGTTGGGGATGCAGGAGTGTTGCTATCCAAAAGTAGAAACTTCTTTTAAAAGGGAAATTGAAATCACATTTAGCTTGTTGGGAAACTCTGTATGTTGGTTTCTTAGAAGGAAAAGATTGATAAGATGAAACATGGTTAATAAATCTTATATTGTTTAAAGACAAGATATCATTCATATAGCTGAAAGTGATATTGAAGGACAAGCCTGTGATGGAATGCTATTTACATGGATTCTTGTGAAGTTTAGGAATCCAATAAAAATGAGGTATGTCCATAGTCTTATTAATAGGCAATCTAAAAGATTTAATAGTGAATCTTGATAAGACAGTTTTTTTCTCTTCAGAAAGATTGGATAATGTGTAGGTAAGGCTTCCTTTGGCATCAGACAATCCTAATTCTGTTTGTATGCAGGAAACATAGTAATGTCTGCAGACAAGGATAAAATTATGGGATGTGCAATTTGTATGTATAATCTAACACTTCATTTTTATCATTCAAGTATGGTCATATCCAAATACCAAGGCATTGGTATAGCGAAGCACTCCCTGCTTCCGGTGAAATTTAAACGAATTGTGCTTTGTATGACATTAAAAGGAATCTCAAAACTAGAATTCAGTTCCTGTTTAATATGAATTGTTTCCGAGTAAATATATATAGATGTATATCATTTGTGTAACAGTCAACCAAAGATTTTGTCTATAACGTAGTTATTTGACTTATAAGGTGCTATGTGTTGTAAGATAGTGATTGTTTACAAATGCTTTTTTTTTTAAGTTCTTTACAATTGGAAATGTTTTGTATTTAAGTTTTGTATATATACAAGCTAATGATCCTAAGCTTAATATTGCTTCACTGGATTTTGGCCATTGTGAATCCATCAAGGAATTCTCTAAACAAACGTCTTTATAAACTGACAATGATTATTTTTGTTACAATAAAAATCATTCTTTCATACACTGATGTTTGTGAAATCAGATGGAAGTGATTTGTTTATTAAATGTTGTTGTGTCGTGTGATTTGTTTATTAAATGTTGTTGTGTCGTGTGATTTGTTTATTAAATGTTGTTGTGTCGTGTGATTTGTTTATTAAATGTTGTTGTGTCGTGTGATTTGTTTATTAAATGTTGTTGTGTCGTGTGATTTGTTTATTAAATGTTGTTGTGTCGTGTGATTTGTTTATTAAATGTTGTTGTGTCGTGTGATTTTGTTTATTAAATGTTGTTGTGTCGTGTGATTTGTTTATTAAATGTTGTTGTGTCGTGTGATTTTGTTTATTAAATGTTGTTGTGTCGTGTGATTTGTTTATTAAATGTTGTTGTGTCGTGTGATTTTGTTTATTAAATGTTGTTGTGTCGTGTGATTTTGTTTATGATATAGATTGGGCTTTTTTACATGTACTATATAATACTACTTTCTTTCTGATGTAAAGTGTAGTAAGTAAAGGGATATGTATGTATACATACAATTTATCTACATATACATCAATAGCATCAGTAAAATTGCAAATGACACTTACAATATTTACAAAAAACGGGAGAGAGAAAGAAAAAACTGCAACGGGCTGCAATTAAAATAGAAGCCAAATCTATTAAGATTTTTTTTTAAAAATTTATGACAGCCAGCAACCTGTTGTAGTTGCACCTTACTAGTTACCCTATTAAACAAAGACATGTGGACAAGGCTTACTGTATTTAAACAGTAAGACATCTATATTATACAAATTGGGTGTTCTTGATATCATTTTATACATGTACAACTGACACACATGTAAAAGCCTAAACATTTTGTAGATTTAAGATCTAATAGATATTTTCACCATAACAAAATCAGGTACAGATTTGGTTATCAATGTCCTCATCAAGTAACTAAAAACAAGTATACACAACTGGTGTATATATTGTACAGACGACACACTTGTGAATAGCCCTTTCAATGCACATTTAGTGACACGGAAAAACCACATACTTTAGTACTGAACTGCATCCTACTGCTGTTTCGTCCCCCAGCATGCCCCATTATAGTTCATTAGAATATCATTGGCAGGATTCATAATATACACATAAAGTGAGCATTCTTCTAAAATCATCTGAAAAATACCAAGTTTACTGAATGATAAGTCCACCTTCCCGTCTAGATTTTGACATTTTCTTTGATCACTTTAGATTTACATTCCCCAGTCGCCTCCTGGACATCAAAATGTGGTCCTTACCACCACTGAGGAGTACTAGAAGGACGAGACAGCTGTATGATGTATCATCACTGAGGAGTACTAAAGGACGAAACAGCTGTATGATGTATCATCACTGAGGAATACTAGAAGGACGAAACAGCTGTATGATGTAACATCACTGACGAGTCCTAGAATGACGAAACAGTTGTATGATGTATCATCACTGACAAGTACTAGAAGGACGAAACAGTTGTATGATGTATCATCACTGACGAGTACTAGAAGGACGAAACAGTTGTATGATGTATCATCACTGACGAGTACTAGAAGGACGAAACAGCTGTATGATGTATCATCACTGACGAGTACTAGAAGGACGAAACAGCTGTATGATGTAGCATCACTGAGGAGTCCTATAAGGACTAAACAGCTGTATGATGTATCATCACTGATGAGTCCTAGAAGGACTAAACAGCTGTATAATGTAGCATCACTGAGGAGTCCTAGAAGGACTAAACAGCTGTATAATGTAGCATCACTGATGAGTCCTAGAAGGACTAAACAGCTGTATGATGTATCATCACTGACGAGTCCTAGAAGGACTAAACAGCTGTATAATGTAGCATCACTGACGAGTTCTAGAAGGACGAAACAGCTGTATAATGTAGCATCACTGACGAGTTCTAGAAGGACGAAACAGCTGTATGATGTATCATCACTGACGAGTCCTAGAAGGACTAAACAGCTGTATGATGTAGCATCACTGATGAGTCCTATAAGGACGAAACAGCTGTATGATGTAGCATCACTGATGAGTCCTATAAGGACGAAACAGCTGAATGATGTATCATCACTGACGAGTCCTTGAAGGACTAAACAGCTGTATAATGTAGCATCACTGATGAGTCCTATAAGGACGAAACAGCTGTATGATGTAGCATCACTGAGTCCTATAAGGACGAAACAGCTGTATAATGTAGCATCACTGACGAGTCCTAGAAGGACGAAACAGCTGAATGATACAGTTTAATTCATCGTTAAGCTCTACTATATCTAACACTTACTTTATATCAAAACCCGCTGTTCACGAGGATGTGTTTATAAACAGATGTAAAAAAAAATGACAGGACGTACTATAGTATGGCGACGTGCACCTGTCCATCCATCATAAACTTTTATTTGTCAGGAGATCTCTCACAGTTTTCAACCGATATGTTTCAGACTTGATAGACATAGTCACCATGACAACAGTTTGCTTTGACTGTATCTGGAAGACTTATTGACCTCTGTTGATTTTTCAATAGATTTCTTTTGATTGTAAACAGTATGATACATATCTCACACATAAAGAATTCAGTAAGGAGATTTGATCAAAAAATGAAAGTTTTGAATATATGTCTGTGTCTAAAACATAAACAGTTTTAATCGTGTACTAGAATATAGCACCTGAGATCATAAAAGGATTTTCAGCACATTTTAGGGGGTTTAGCACCCTCTTGATGACAAAGCTCAATATGACAGTGGAGAACTAGAAGAAAAAACGGTCCGGAAAAAGGTATCTGGATTACAAGTGTTGCTATTGGGGCAGCGATCTGATTTGGTCTCTTCAATGTTCCCATCGTAGAAGAGATTCTGCAGGGACTATTTCACAGGTCGCCTTCTAAAATCATGTAGTGGAATACAGCAGACAGTATGCTCAGGAAAACCGCTTCCGATCTGGAAGGGAGCCCCAGCCACTAGTTACTTCTTATGACACGTAGTTATATATATACTACAAGGTATCTGGTCCCCTGCATTGGTCCAGACTTAAAATAAACTGTATCCAGTAACGGTATGTCTTCATTGTTGGAAACCTGGTGATCTTTTATCTCATCGACTGGTATGATAAGGTATCAGGATGTATGTTTGATCTTGTCGACTGGTATGATAAGGTATCAGGATTTATGTTTGATCTTGTCGACTGGTATGATAAGGTATCAGGATTTATGTTTGATCTTGTCGACTGGTATGATAAGGTATCAGGACTTATGTTTGATCTTGTCGACTGGTGTAATAAGGTATCAGGACTTATGTTTGATCTTGTTGACTAGTATGATAAGGTATCAGGATTTATGTTTGGTCTTGTCGACTGGTATGATAAGGTATCAGGATGTATGTTTGATCTTGTCGACTGGTATGATAAGGTATCAGGATTTAGTTTGATCTTGTCGACTGGTATGATAAGGTATCAGGATTATGTTTGATCTTGTCGACTGGTATGATAAGGTA